CTATTGCTTGTCCATAAACAAGGAACTTTAATTAAGTACAAAGGGAAGTAGAAATAGACCTACTAGAATATATTAGAAAGAAATGTATTACAGACCAATTTTATTAATGCCAATAGAAATGGTAACATTCCATACAAAATATTTGAAAAGTGATATTTCAGGTGTAGTAAACACAAAAATTTAAACTGATCCTTTGCCTTTAATGCAGTGCATGGAAAAAAACTGTCCTGTCATACAAAACTTCATTCACACTTGTATATTATTCTTAGCTGATGTTTTACCAATGTGGCAGTTCCTACATTAACATTTACAGTGAAATTAAAACCGAGTTGGTTCAGATCTAGGTTTGCTCCATATAGTGACTGGCAGCAGTATGTAAGTACTTATGGAAGTCATTAAATATATATTTTATACAGTCAATCTTTAAGAGAACAGCCATTATACCTCAAGCTCTGCCAGATGCTGATCTTGCAGAATAATGCTCCTTTCTTAACTCACACCAAAAATAAAAGAAAAAGAAAACAAGATTTACATCTTTAGTAGAGTGTTTGATGGTTCCCACATGGTGCATAATTTAAGCAAGTTAATCTGTATGTGATACAGGACAGTCCCTTTTCAGTGCCAGAGTGATTATAGAACCACTTTATACCACATGCCTGGGCACCATGATATACAACACTGACATGAAGTGGTCAAGATGGCTGAACTTAGGCACAGTCAACGCTGACAACAGTTAATTTATGTCACAATAAATAACACATTTTGTGTTAATTTTCCCATAAACCCCACACACTTGATGATTGAGTTTAACCTTTCACACATAAATTTCACTCGGAGCAATTTAGGACCCCATCTCTTACTATAAATTATACAAATGGGTCACGCAATTGCTCTATATGGGAACGTGGTTAGGATCAGTAAACAGGAAAACCTTGTACTCTCCAAGGTTAAGTAAGTTGAAAAAGTGGAAATAAATACAATGTGGTATTATTAAAATCTGCTTTAACACGCCCATCTCAAACCAGAGGAATATCTTGAGTACATATATCTTCCTGATGAATATATATTTAAAATATAGAAAAACAAATACAGAATATAGTTTAAGACTGAGAGTGGCTTTTATACTGTTGATTTTTCTTAAACTAACAAAATCATCATGCTTACCAGGCCCATATAGTAAACAGTTTTTCTATTCTGATTGATTTGAAATAAAAGTTTGTAACCTTTCAGCCACATTTATTTACTTTAGTCTCCATGAATTCCTGAAAATTGCAAGGTGGGGTGGTTCCTGAGAGAGCCTTCTTTTACTAATTCTCAGAGCAATAAGGAAAAGTCACAGAAAGGAACACTACATTGTAAAGAGTCTGTGTTTTGGATAGCACACAGTGCTCATTTATCAAACAAGAAGATACAGAGTAACATTTACAGTATCTACTGAAAAAAATATTACAATTTGTGACATCAAATTATAGAGGTAGCATTTTTTATAAGGCACATGGCATGTGTTTTAAAGAAAAATCTGTACCAATCTTCTTTTCCAACATTATCTGTTCATAATGAGCAGAGCATAAGAGCAGACTAAGGAAGACATTTTTTAAGATAGTGTTTTTAAACATAAAATATTATGTTCAATGAAACAGTGCTTAGAGAAAATAAGAGATGTCTGATTTTCTGAGACTGCCAAGTGTGTTTCATTTTTATTGTAAACTGAACTAAAGTGCTTATTTATTCAATTAATTCTACCTCGTACCAACTTTAACAACTCTCTCGGTGTTACAGGGTTCTAATTTTAAACATTTTTGTGCTTTAATACCAATGGTAAAAACAATTGCTTGAGGTTATTCTCTGGTGCAGGTGTGGACAATTCAGATACAGTATGGCAATACAATTCCAATAAAAGACTAGCAGTAAGAGACAATGTGTTTGATTCCATATTTTTTTTATCTAATAGCGGTTTTAATTTCTTATGCATAATTCTGTTGGATGAAGTATCAATATAATGCTTCTTGGAATTTAAACTAGGTATACAGTAAAAGTCTCTTAAATTAATTTAAGTTAGTACCATGCAATTATTGTTGGATTTAGTATGTTAATATTCTCAAGAAAAGGAATTATCAGTTATGAACAAAACAAAAGCCTACTGTTTCTGATATTGAAAAATAATAACATAATGGGAAACTCTGAAAACCCTTCACCAGACTTCAGTTAAAGATTAAGGTGGGAAACAATTGCATATATTTTAATTTATAGTGCCTTTCCAATAGGCAAGTAAGTAAACAGGCATCATAACATTATGGAATACTAAGCAATCAGCTTTAAGGAGTTCAGAAATTAATTTCCATCTGATATACTCTTCAGATTGAAAATCTAAGGAATCTAAACAGTAACAGAAAACAGAAAATCACTGCGAACACAATAAAGAGTAAATCTAGCGAGATGTGAAGAAACAGGGAATTGCACATGACACACTCAATGACTATTCTATTCTGTAGTACTTGTAGGAGTGTGTGTGGAGGGGGGTATATTGCTGGAGGCACAGTCATCCATCTCCATTTTAAACCATCACCTTTAACAGCTCTGGGTACAATAACGCAGCCCAGCATCTGTGATCTGAGAAAAGCTGGTCTTACAGAGTATTATCACAGCTGAATAGCTTTGGAGAGACCCTGATGATTTGTATTGTGATGCAGGCAGTCAACAAGGTTGTGCTCACACTGAACATGATCATTATGATAAATGTCAGGGTTTAACTTGCATAAGATTTTCTCCCTCTGCTTGATCCTTTGTAATATTTTTTTTTCTCTGAAAGAAATTCCTTATTTACAGTAACTTTATTTTTTTAATGTACACAGTTTCCAAAATTAAGAGAACAAATTTTAAAGTGTTGTTTGAACATACAGTATGTTTGTACTGTAAATATATTGTTTTATGTGACGAATGTGTTTCTTTAGGTTCCTCATTCTACTCAAGTTCTCATAAAGCAATTTTAGCTGGAGTAAGTTTAATTTTGTGACATTGAGGTGCATTTCCAAATTGTTTCATTGGCATGGCCATTTATGATGTTGTTTTCAAGTCTATGAAAACCTAATTTGTGTAAATTCTCATGAGCTTATTTTGCAACATACTGTATAAAAGCACATTTCTGACCAAATTTTTTGATAATGCTGTTCATTCTTTCTTTGACAGTTAATACATTGATCTCTTAACTCTAGAGGTTAAAGTTCTCATAACAAAAATGTTTTCTTGTAAAAATGAAAAGAATATTCATGGGATACAGAGAATAGTAAATGTTCTATGCAAAAATATTTGACATTCTAGCCTTAACATATATTTTTCTTCAGATTCCAAGGCTTTGAAAACCTGGAATTATTCCAGACATGCAACAATGGCCAGTATTTTCCCCTTGCCAGTATTATTATTTCTTACTATTTAAAATACATTATTATAGAAGTTTCAACCTTTGCCACTTCTGTAACATCTCTGTGTCATAATTGTCTTGTCTACTCATATCGAAATAATGGCATGATTTGCATTAAAAATGAAAGTAGTCTGATATTAACAAATGTAAATAAACTTTTTTTTATGCACAAAAAGACTTTTGCAGACTTATTAATTTTAGAATTGGGCAAAATTCTAAAAATCAGATCTTTAGGGTTTGTAAAAGGTGTATATTATCACAAGCTCATTATTAATATTTTCAAAATCTGTTTGCTTAGCAAGTCTATTTTTTCTGAATACAACCGAAGGCAACTTGGACATTGCTTTAACCTCTAAAAACTCCACAATGGAATTCTTAGTCCAGACAGCAGTGGTACTAAGACATGCAAGAACCAAGCAGCAGACTAAATGTAAAGATAAACAATATCTTAAGGTCTGTCTTACACAACACTCTTAATACAGTATATCAGCAGTGTTTACTGAGATGTGACAGATTTAGAGCTTGTGATCTTTGAAAATTTCCTGAAGTCTTCCTGAAAGCTTCAGATGTTTATGTTAAGAATCCTTTTATGCTTAATAGAAAAATATTTCCTCTCCAATCCCAACACCTCAAAATCCCATGCTGTGAAATGCCAAAATGCGATCTTTATTGTGAAGGTGTAATGTGTTTTAAACACACCAATATTTAACAAAAAATGGGACACAACTTCATGTCCCAATTTCTTTGACAGGTGAGTGAAAAAGTGTTTTTTCACATTTGTCCTTAACTTCTTATTAAGTATTTACTCTTTAAACCACAAAGGTGGATTGTGGAGAAAATAAGGACTTTTTAAAATATTAAAAGCTTTACCTTGAATATCACATTCATAAATTTGATTTACTCATAAATGACTTCTTCTGTAAAATGGAAATGCAGAATTTGATAAATATTTTTTAAATGCTGAGCAGTGCAGGTGTTAACATAGATGAACCAATGATGTTTGGTTTTATTAATCATGATTTTCTGAAAACAAATGAACAAATCTGTTGTCTGTATGCTGACTTTTAATTTACATTACAGTTCAAAATTTAATTTTTGAAGCAATGAAACTACAGAAAAATATATATGATGCCTATAAATGTACTTTATAGTAATTGTATGATTAAATGAGAATGTCCTGATAAGAAACATTAGCACTAACACTTCCTATCACACAAGTCTTATATATACAGTACAGTATATCCTCAGCTTAACCTTGAATAGAGGACCTGTGGAAATTAACTATTCTAACATGAATAGCTTGAATATCTAACAGGAATATCTTGAAATAATAGTCTTTTTTCTTGATTTCAAAGATTGACCTTAATAGAATCACTTGTTTTTTTCTACTTACTGTAGATTTGAAGAAACATCGCCTAAATACAGCACTCACTAGTGTTGTTGATTACAACAATGTATTGTTGAGGAAATTTAGCATTTGCTCCAGTGTGCTCACTAGTAAATGGCTGTATTTCAAATCTTTTTAATCTTAAATCTTAAATATAAAGCCTAAAGCTAATGTGATAAAAAAATACGGTAACTGTAAAAGTGTTAAAACGTTTTAATGACACATGGTTTTAAGTATGCAAGACAGCATTAAAGCAGCATATGTGAATTCTAGAGAGTTTATTTTTTAACAATTTTTATTAAAATGTCACAGAGTTTAATACAGGCACCTTTGATTTACACAGAAGGCTTTTTGCATTTAGACCCATCAAATATTTTATATTGTATATACCTATTTCTGTTTGGAATTACCAATTGTGTCCTTTTGCCCTGGAGTACAGTGTTGACTCCTGCATCCACCCAGGCAGTTAGGAAACAGAGACAGACTCTTCTGAGCTGTGCACTCATTGAGTATACTGTATAATTCTACAAGCTCGAGAGCAACATACTGTACAGAAGGTTCATCTCCAACAGATGCTTCACCACTGACACCCTCCTCCTTACACACTTGGAAATCACAGGGGTTTCTTGTCCACCAGGAGCTGAGAAAGCTTGGCCACTTATATTAATTTCAACTTTACCCCCATGATGCTCGAGAAATCCTGATAATAGTCAATTAGTGACATTACCCAGGCTCAAACTCATGACATTAGGATCACAGGGCTCCCAGCTATTTCAGGTTGAGCTAGTCAGCAGTCTCCCTCAAGGAATTTTTAAGTAAATAACAGGTCTTTACAGTTAACATGAATAAATTTGAATTAATACATTGCATTCATCAATAACACTGAACATATGTATTGATTTTGGTCCTTAACATCAAATATTCAGAGTCTTAGGTCATCCTGACACTTGTTCATTTCCTTGCCAACAAAACTTCTCTTTTTCTTTCATAGTGTTTCCTTTGAAGGGAGATTAATCCTCTTATGGGTATATAAAGTAAATTGCAGCTGTAACCAGAACTCTGCAGCTCAAAATCCATTTTCCTTTATAATAAGCCATAAAGCTGTTTTCACACTTAAGACATTCTGAGCATTTCTGTAGCAGAATAACTCCTCAGAACCACTTCTGTTGGTATTTAGCCATTAAATAAATATCCAGGCCTTTCCTCTTCTGGCAATGTGGCATCAGATTTTAAGTTCCCTCTTACAGAACTTTCATCTTTTGCTGGATTCCACAGTTCATCAACAGTGATGTCAAATAATCACAACATTCGTGCAAAAGAAGTAATGAAAATTAAAAAAAATCTACATTCAACTATAATTCAGTCATCAATGTGAAAACAAAAACGTGCAATAGTGCAATTTTTTCTTGGTTGCTTCAAAAATACTAGTCTCAATATTTTGTCCATTTCACTTTTCAAAGAAATAATTTTGGCTTCAATGACGTTTTTTTTTCATATTGTTTCTTTTTCGTAGCTTTTGGTCCCATCTCTGAAAAATATAATTACAATACATACTGTAATCTCTGGGTTTTTTTTGTATGGATGTTGTTCAAATTCCTAATGGAAGAAATTGTATATGGCTAATAAAGTGATCTTATCTTAAATACTATGTTGGCTAAAAGCATCTATAATAAAACACATATTATCTCAGGTAATATTATAAATAATCACTCAATGATGTGCTTCAGAAATACTTTTCAACATATTGTGCTTCATTTAAACCATGTCTTCAAATTCTAACTAAATTCTCCAGAAGTACAGTATACATTGTCTTTATTAAGCAGAATTCATAATGCTATTAAAGTAATTTAATTATTGGTATGACACAGAGTTCGAGGCAGGGTCCTTCAAAGATTAAGTTATAAGTTTGTTGCTTGTACCTAACAGAAACAAAAACATTGTTCTGATCTTTGTTCTAATCTAAGTGGTTCTTGAGTATTCCCAGTGGGTCAGAAATTCTAAAACGACTACAGTAGTTTCCTTAAACGGCTTCCAATCTGTAAGTAAAAAGAAACTTCTGTGTGCTGCACTATGCCTGTTTCTCCTCAACTGTCAGATACGTCTTGTCCCTGTCATTCTGGTCTGAACAAATTTGACATTACTGCTGCCCTTGAGAATCTTAAGAAAACAATCAAGTAATCAAGTCTTCCATTTTAAGTTTTCTATATGTATAGTGCAAATATTTAATTTGTTCAACCACTCTATGTAAAATTCACCTTTCACCTGTAGATAGTCTAATTTACTTCACTGGGGTAGAATAGTGCTTTATTGGGAGTGGATTCTGGCAGACTGACAAGATTTTAGTTTATGGAGGTTCCAAACTAGCTCTGAGTCATCGCAACCAATGCAATACCAAACAAATATGCATAGTAGTTTTGAGTTTGTTAACCCAGTCGTTATCATAAAGAATTCATCTTCTCTGAAACCAAAACCATTTCAGATTCACTGGCAAAAAAACCCCCAAAAGATATATAGGGTATTATTCAATTGCCTCTATTGTCACATGTTCTTCTACGAGCTTTGATAAATGAATCAAAGAAGCTGGTGAGGCAGCAATAACTTAGCCTTAAGCATACATGTTATTTTTCACGTAATCTCAGAATACAGATAGTGTAGACCTGGTAAGGATTACCTTCACTTTCACGCCAAGACGGTCTTTCCACTTCTGAGCAAAGGAGCCCTCAATAAAGAGTAACCTGCATGGACACAGTTAACACCATCAACAATGAACGAACAAAACCTCCCTTCAACAAGGGATACAGACTGTGATCCAAGTCGCAAAAATATGAGTTTTTCTGTACCTTGAACGTTCTTCATTCTCGTAGCCCATAATTATGTACTCCTCGTTGGCGTTCAGGGGAGGGCATAAACAGCCTGAGTTAGAATGCAGGGTTACGATATCCCGAGGGATACTGACCAAGGAAGACTTTAAGACGTCTTTGACTTCGACTACTGCGCTCACGTCATGACGCTGGCTTCTTATTTCTCTCACCTTTGCTCGGATTACTATAACAAACACAGAAAACATCAACGCGGATGTAAAAGGTGATGAGCAATTAAAATTAAGAATGAAGAAAGAGCAGCTGAAAAAGAAACCCTAAAGAAAATCAGTTTCATCACTCTTGGTTGAAAGTATCTATTTTTCTACAATCAATTAAAATGATACTAACCACAATCTCTCACATTTAGGTATTTTAAGTACTTTATCTTGATGAGATTCATCAATGTCTTAAGTAACATGATTACCAACTGGTAAGATAGCAAAAACATTTAATTTTAGTTTAAGTATTGTATATTTTGCCATTTTCTAACACTGAGAAAATGGAGTACCTTAACAGTATTTAACATTTCAAACTGTTAATACTGTATGTCTAGTACAATTAACCATCTTCAGAGGCAGCGAAAATTAGGGAAAAAAGCAGACATTGACCTGGCATTTTTAGAGAGATTAAATGATTGAACTTCATCATAAATATTATGGGCACTCATTATTTCAGACGTAAACTAAAAACTCACCATAATTGTAATTTTTCCTTAAATATGTCTTTTCAACAAGTTTTATTTGCTCACACTTGCAGCGTTCTATAAAATAAAAATGCAAGGTTATTGGTTAATAAGATGACATCCATATGTAACATCTAAAGTTTCACTGATAATAGTATAATTCATTTCCTTAGGATTTAAAAAAAACTTAACTGATGCAATCACTGAGGTCTGAATTGCAAATAAACTGAATTTTAGTAAAATCACTATCAAATGGTAAAAATATGGGAAAAGTGCAATAAACCCAACCGCACATTAAAGCGCCTTACAAAAGAAGTGTATAAAAATGTATGTATATACTATATGTTTATACAAATATGTACTATATGTATAATAGAATTGTGGCATCTACCATACATGAAATATACATGAAGCTGAGTGTAATTCCACATTGAAAACAGAAAAAAATAAAAATAAAAATTTAAGCTGTGGAGCCTTTTGCTGGTACAGTATGTGAAGAACTGAACACAGCTGAAACCTTATTTCTTTGTACTTTTCTGTGTGGACTTAAAACTCCTTTGCAGGAGTTGTTCCTTTGCAGCTCGCAGCCTGATACAGCTCTTCACTCTTTCTTTTACTTTATACTGTATATAATATAGATTTTCTACCTCATTTTTAAATCAAATTTGATGAAAGCATACAATAAAATAATACCATTGTTAGTGCCCCTGCAGTTCCCATTGTGAGAATCCATTGGAAAATCTGGCATAGACTCTGAGTTAAAGACAGTAAAAAGTTAGCACAAACCACCAAAACCAACAATGTACAGACATTGTTACATTTTCTGATTTTTGCTCACACTAAAAATAATTTAATTTTAATAGACGTTATTAGGCCTCTGTTCAAATATTGTACTATGTCCTGAAAGAAAAATCCCACTTAAAACATTCCAGCGCTGTGTTTGATCTGTAGTTATATGCTTAAATAATATTAAGTATAACGTTTATAAGCCATAGTTAACATTAATTAGCATTTTCAAAGTGTTTCATTTATACAGACTTAATATCCGTGAAAGGTGTTTTGCAGAAAGAAAGACTTAAGAGTCTTACCTGGTATGCATTTGTTAAACTCTTGATAATACGGATTGTCTTAAAAAGAAGAAAAATGGGAGCGGTAAATCATATTAAGGTAGATCAAACGTTTTAATTTTTCTTGTGATCTAGTTTTAAACTGCTACAATTATACGCTTATAACAAAGAAAATAATAACCATGAAAATAATGATTGCTTACCCGGGCCTTCTGCTGAGACTATCGCCTCCGGAGAGATACAAACACCCCGGTCATAAACTGGCAGGTCTTCGCATGCCAGACTCTCCGGCCATGTGTGATTGTATTTCTTCATGACAGGTTCACAACCACATTTTGCCCTCTCACAGACTGATTTGCAAGGCTTTATTGGATCGTGCTGAAAATCTATTGTACAGATCGGGGCATACATAGCACACAGAAAAAAAAGCAAGTCCGGGCTGCAGTTTGTTCCCAACAAGCCTTCAAACTGCTCAATGGCCAGGATCGCGTTAGCCTGGGTGCTGTGATGAAGATGGTTTGGCATTTTAGTCATGTTCCACGGCATCGACCCGCACATTGGAATCCTTATTGGTTCACATGCAGCCGCTCTGGCTCTGGGTATCCCGATTAGGCACGTTATAGCCAGAAAAGAAATTACTTTGTAAGAAAGCATATTAAAAAGTAAGTGGTACTTTAAAAAAACGTCACCGAAATAGTTACAAAAAGTTAAAACATCTGATAAAGTGAACAGGTTTGTGATTTGTAATGCATGTATCAAGTACTTCTAAACTGAAGAAACTAGGAGTTATACAAACCTGCAATCCTGTTTATATAACGTCCTTTTATGTTCTCTTGTTCACGAGTAGCCTGCAATACCTCTACTCTGCATAGCAAAACGTATTCAAGACAATGATAAAAAACGTGTATGCTTATTTTAATTAAAAGACGGGGTTAACACAGACGTCCGGTTAAAAAAGTGGGGGCGTTTCAGAACAGTCCTTGACGTTGACAATGCCAGACCTAACACAGAGGTCCATATTCTGCCATGGTTTCGACGATCTCCAGAGGTACACTGATGTCTTCGGCTTTGCAGCTGTAGTTGCTGTTGCAAGCAGCAGGAGCACTCGTTGAATGGCTTTTCTCCTCCAAACCAACTCCTTTTTAGTCAGCAGATCTGTACCAAGAGAGACCCTCCTCCTCTCCGAGTTCCCAGAGCTCAAATGCTAACATTGACGAAAGGATGCATTCCATTACTTAAGCTCCTACGAAATGAAAAGGCTTCATTCTGAGGTCGCGCTTAGAAAATGTAAACTTTCCATTATTGAAGTGTGAAGTAAGGCTTATTAAACTAAAAACGACAGACTAGTTCAATTTTTATGACCCCTGATTTCTGTAAGGAAAAATACATGCAATTACTGTTCTAATAAACTAAGCGACTTTAGCATAAGACCTACCTCTTACTTTATCGGACCTATTTTAACACACCGCACTGAAGTGCCACAGCAGATGTAATTGTTCTCTTTTTTAAAGAGGTACCAAAATGGTGCGGTCAAGAGTGTCCAGAAATATGATAAAGATGCCATCAACGGGGCGTTTGCTTCCAACGACAAAATTACAGAGGGTGAGCTGCACAAATTCGCTCTGAAAGATTAAATTAGATTACACTTAATTACTAGCAAATTAACAAGGCTTTTCTCTAAGACGTTGTACAGTAAATTGATCCCATGTGTATTTATTTTACTATACACTGTGAAACAATAGAAATCCCTTAAACAGAGAATTCAATTAGTTGATTTGTATCAGGTGATCTATACAACACAGTGTTAAGAATTCTTCTTTGTGGAAGCACACTTTGTTGGCAGGAGACTTGATATCTGGCTTGATATCTTGAAACTACTTCAGTCATCTTTTTCGATTGCCCTTACAGGGGGATCTGTAAATAGTACCCCTGTGAGTGCTTTTGTTGGATTAGGAGTCTTATCAGGCTGTCTGGTTATCATTGCATGTCTGTTAGTGCAGTTTTCTCTTTTGTTCCAGAGTGTCTACAGTTAAAGTAACATTTATCCTTTTTGTGCCTAAAACATCTTGAGATCCCAATGTTTCACCACATTGGTGTTAATAGTGGGATCTTTGTGCTGACAGGTATCTTATATTGGGATATAGATGAAAGGAGAGAAAGACCCCACACTGGACAGAGGATGTAAAACAGCTGGATCTCAAAGGGAACGAAAGATTGCATCACCCTGGGGAGGAGGAGCAGCTGTTGTACGGAAGGAGTTACCAACTTCATCAGCTTGGCTTTTGAATAAGTGAATAAGCCAGACACTATCAAGGGCCTCCAGGGTTTCAAGCATGCCAGCACTTATGCTATGGAGCCCTTCCCTGAGTGCCAGGAGGAACAGCTGTGAGCCGAGGAAGAGAGTCTACTTGGAGATAGAGGGGATGCACTGCATCGACCAGTCCAGATTGGGGAAAGCAAGAAATTCTCCCTCACCTTCACTGCCTCTAACTTCCTTCTTCCTGCATTCTGGTACAGACTCACAGCACACATCCACCTCAGTAGGTTAGTTAGATCCATAGACACCAGTTCTGAAGGTGTTGTGTGTGCTTACACACCCCTGATATTTTTTATTTTATCATTGTTATAGCAGGAGTAAAGGCATTTTAATTTTTATTTATGCTTTAGATATAACCATAGAAGTGTGTATTCTCAATGCTAAATAATGATTACTTGTTTCAAGCTCTATAGAAAATGGATGGAGCAACACAGAAAAAATGACAAAATTGCTGCTGGGGCTGGTGTTTCTGGATATAATCAACAGGACAGCAATTCTGTCTTTCCTGACCCTTTACACTGTAATCTGTCAGTGTGGTGTGGAGTGCTTTGCTTACCTCTACCCAAAGCTTGCTAACAGAAGGCAGCTAGGCACTGAAAAACAGGGCTTGTATGTAGTAGATATCCGCTATCCTGCTCAGTAAAAATCAGCTTTTCCTGAGCAGTCTATGGAGGAGGTGAGACTGGCTACTTCCATGTGAAGAGTAACTGCACACACGTATCTTAAGCACCTAAGCTGAAATCCGCTGAAGAAGTTCAAAAGTTAATGTTTTTTATATCATTGATTTCAGAATTAGAATTTTCACACCAGACATGGTCATATGACCAATATACACTATGCAGAAAAGAAAAGAAACGACGTTTCGGCTGTGGAGCCTTCTTCAGGTGTGAGAGCCTTCTTCAGAAGGCTCCACAGCCGAAACATTGCGTTTCCTTTCTTTTCAATAAACCCGCTACCTGTTCCTTTACAGCCTACGTATGCTGACGCAGCTACCTACTTGAACTACTTCAATATACACTATTACAACATTAATATGAGCTCCTAGGATTTTATTAACTAAATGGAGGGAGAATATTTGGGAAGGGGCAAAGCATTTTTTAACTCAAAGTTGTCCCAATGTGGAACCAAAGCAAGAAACCCCAAAGACAGCTTATCATAACCTGATTGCGCAGTACAACACCTCATAGTATCAGACAACAACTGCTCAACCTGTCAGAAAGTGTGCAGATCCCATAATGATTTTTACACTCACCTTCAGGCGCATGGAAGACAATAATTCTCAGCTGTGAGGGACAGTTCTTGAATAAATGAATCAGTTTAGTATACAGAAGCAGGAGGGAGTCTGTTATAGGGCATAGTTGGCCCTTCAGGAACAAATGAGACCTGTACACATTGGATGGGATGCACTTGAATCAGAATATCTGAGGTGCATTTAAGACAGGGAACTGGGGGTCAAAGCGCTCAGAACATGCTGGTTCTGATGGGATCAGGAGAGCACATGGCAACACTTAAAAGGGGAGCGGTGGCTCTGTGGCTAAGGCTCTGCACCTGTGGCTGGAAGGTTGCTGGTTCAAATCCTGCAGCTGGCAGAGAAATCCTACTCTATTGGGCCCCTGAGCAAGGCCCTTAACCCCAACTGCTCCAGAGGAGCTGTACAATGGCTGACCCTTTGGTCTGACGCCAGGCTCTCTCACTATCTGTGTGTTTCGTGGAGAGCAAGCAAAAAGACTAATTCCTAATGCAAGAAATTGTATAGGGCCAATAATGTTGTTATGGTAAAAACTACAAGACATCTTGAATACTTATACCTCAATGCCAAAAGGAATACATGAAAGAACGTGAGGCTACTGCACGAAGAAATGCAAGATTATTAGAATATCCAGAACATGCCTACAGGTAGGTGTGGATTATGGGTGGTGGTGGTGGTGGTTGAGTGCCGTCGAGTTGGTGTCGACTCATGGCGACCCTATGGACAGTTCCACAATCACTATCCATAGAGTTTTTATGGCAAGATACAGAAGTAGATTTCCAGGCCTTTCTTCCGCCCGGATACCGGCAACACCGCCCCCCCCCATACTGATGCTGCCCAGCATGGGTTAATAGAGAACCTTGCGCCCGACGTGGGACACAAGCCCACGACCCAGAGATTATGAGTCTCATGCTCTACTAACAGAGCTAGTCAGGGGACATGGATTATGGGGATGAATATAAAATTATTTTAGTAACATTGAAATAATTTTCAGGAATATATTTAGAACAGAAAGGGTAGTAGGATGGGATTTAAATATAACCTGCAAGCTAGAGAATTTAGGGAAAAGTACACCATCCGAATCTAAATGGGTTAAGCTGCAAAACAATAGGTGTATATTAGAGATGCTCTAATGTAGACAAAGACATGTATTTTACAGTATGATGAGATCAAAAAGGTGTGCGCAGCAGATATGCATTACATTATTGGAAGATTTAAATGTTTTCTTCTGGGGAATACAGAAGTTTAAATCGTCATGGTAATAATGGTTAAGGTTGCTTTTTAACTGAGTTTTTAAAACCACCTACTATACTAAGGACAATTCTTTTGTAGACTTTTTTTTAACTACCAGAATTTAAATTTAAAATGGTAGTTACAGTATAACAATACCAATGCATTTCAACCAAGATATGTTAAGTTTTGTCGTTAAGTCTCTAATGCTTAAGTCTAAAATTAGGGTCCATAATTCTAGAAAAGCAAACTATAAATTAATGAGGAAAAGCTTCAAGCACTTACATGTAACTAGGAACAGGCAATAAAGAAGGATAGAGAGACACTAAAGTGCATAACAAATCAATCTACAGTGCTGCTTGAAAGTTTGGTAGTTCCATGTAGTTCTTTAAATGTTATATTTTTACCATAAAATCCTTGTTAAATCAAAATTTGTCCTTACAATTCTATAAAAAAGGTTTATATCCACAAATTCTACATATTGTTTAGAGGAAATGATGTATGAAAAAGAAAAAGAAACAGGTAAAGAAGAATTAGTGTACAGTATGTGCAAAGTAAGCATAACCCGGAGCTAAATTAATTGGGTACTAAGTTAACCTGTCAAAGAGCCAGTTTTGATCTCAAACAAAGTTTTACCCATACACCATGCCACAATCTAAAGAGACCTCAGATTGCCTCAGGAAGAATGTTCTAAGTGCTTGATAGTGTGGAGAGGGTTATAAATCCAGAGCGAAGCATTTTGGAATTCATCAGTCTACTGTAAGACTGTCAGTACAAATGGAGATAAGATAGGACCATGGTGACTCTACCTAGATGTGGACGTCCTTCAGGCTTAACAGAGCAACAGGAAAACTCCTAGGAATACATCCACTCGCAGGGAAGAACCCCAGCACCACATCTTAGGATGTTCATACATCAACAATATGATGTAAGATGAATAGCAATGGAATTCATGGGAGGGTAGCCAGGAGGAAATCTTTGCTCAAAGGATGTTTATTGAATTAAAAGGTTCCCTTACTTTTGCATGCTGGGATCATTGAGTTTCTGTTAAATAAACATGTTTTATTTAACAAATAATGAAACTATAATTTTTGTATGTGTGCCCGTTATTTGGGTTATCTTCATTAAATATTGGAGTTCAGATAAAAGATTTAAGATTGTCTAAAATGTATGAAAAATGAATGCTTCACATACTTTTATTACAGCACTGTATATGTATAACAATTTAACCTAAGTGAGAGAATTAGAAAAACTGAAGTAAAAAATAAAAGAAAAAACACAACAAGAAAACAAAAGAAAGTGGCTCTGTGCACCAAACATAATTGCCCAAGATTTGAAGACATAAAAATAGTATACTGAGCTTCAGGGGTAGCAAAAAAGATGTAAATAACGTTATCAGTACTGCAATAGTAAAATAACTGTAAAAATTAAGTAAATAGTTTATCAATTAATAGCAGCTTAATAATAGAAGAATAAAATACTAAACATGCTAAAAATATTTTGTGCATATATTATGCTTCTTTACAAAAGAAGATGTCATTAAGTGTCCTGTGTTATACTGTAGAAGGTGCACAATCAGTATTAGGTCATTTAAGCAAAGTTGACACTGAGGTTGTAAAAGGACTAGGACATCTTAAAACTAATAAATCACCACAGCCAGATGGCATTGTTCCATTAGTACTTACTCGAATTCACAAATGCCAAATGCCTAGCGATTTCAACTCTCACCTAGGATGAGAACTGCACACACAAATTGGAGATCTGCAAATGTAATACCACTTCATAAAAAAGGAAGATAAAACTAAAAAATGAATCACTCTTGTTCCTGTAGCCAGTAAAATTATGAAAACGATATAAACTTGAAGAATTCCTTGGCAATATGAACTTAAAAAGGGATGGTCGTGGTAGTTACTAGATCGCTTTGAACAAGCAACAGGAAAACTAAAGCAACTAAACTAATAGCAACTAAATATAGCACATGTTTGAAGGTCACTTATAAAAGATTCACAAATTAAATGCCAAGGGAATCCAAGATAAATGTATGCACATAGTATAATGAACAAGGAACTGCATCATTTTAAGAGGAACAACCTCTAACTGTGCAGATTTAAGTAGTGGTGTACCACAGGGATCCACTTCAGGACTGAGGTTCTTCCTGATCTGCGTCTTGCATTTGCATTTAGACTCTGGTATTGCTGTCAAAATAGTTAAATTTACAGATGATGAATCAGTAAGAGAAGTGTCAAATACAGAAACAGTCGGAAAGTACCTTTTTACAATCAAAAGTGATCCACTCAGGCAGTAGGAACATGCATTATGTATACTGAAAAAAAATGAGCTATAGGAATCTGAGCATAAAAGAGATTTGGCTATTTATGTAGATTCTTTTGTGTCCTCATCAAGACAACATGAAAAATTAATAAAAAAAAGCAATCAAAGCCTATTGTATATATTGTATACACTTCACTATGCTTAGACAGTCATGGCCCAAAATATTGGTACCCTTGCACCTTTAGCAAATAACTCAATTTTCTCTAAAAATAAGTTGAAATCGACCAAAGTATTTGGCCTCCACAATTCTTTATCTCACTGTTAATATTACAGAACCTTTGTTTTTGATTCAGAATGTAATACACTATATCCTTTTAAATCAGAAAATAAAAAGAAATGGCATTGACAAAATTATTGACACCCCCGACTCAATATTTGGTGGCACAGCCTTTGGTCAAAATAACTGCAATCAAGCGCCTCCTATGGCCATCAATGAGCTTCCTGCACCTCTATACTGGCGGTTTGGCCCACTCTTCTTGTGCAAACTGCTCCAGTTCTCCCAGATTTGAAGGGTGTCTTCTTCCGACTGCTGTTTTCAGATCTCTCCACAGGTTTACAATGGGATTTAGATCTGGACTCATTGCTGGCCACTTCAGAACAGTCCAGTGTTTTGTCTTGAACCATCCCTGGGTTCTTTTTGAAGCGTGTTTGGGGTAATTGTTGTGCTGGAAGACCCATGACCTTCGACAGAGACCCAGCTTTCTGACACTGGGTATGACATTGTACTCCAAAATGCCTTGGTTTTGGAGTGCACAAGATCAAGGCACCAGTGCCAGTGGCAGCAAAGCAACCCCAAAACACCACTGAACCTCCTTCATGTTTCACTGTAGGGAAGGTGCTCTTTTCTTTGAAGGCTTCATTTTGTTTTCTGTAAACAGAGTTGGTGTGCTTTACCAAAAAGCTTTAATTTTGTCTTATCTGTCCACAGGGTATTCTCCTAGAAGGATTTTGGCATGTTCAGATGTGTTTCGGCAAATTGCAGTTGGGGTTTTTGGCAAAGCACAAGAAGAGTGGGCCAAACCGCCAGTACAGATGTGCAGGAAGCTCATCGATGGCCATAGGAAGCGCTTGATTGCAGTTATTTTGACCAAAGGGCAGTGCTACCAAATATTGAGGCTGGGGTGTCAATTTTGTCAATGCCATTTTTTTATTTTCTGATTTAAAAGGATATATTATGTTCTGAATCAACAACAAAGGTTCTGTAATATTAACAGTGAAATAAACAATTATGGAGACCAAATACTTCGGTCAATTTCAACTTATTCTAAGAGAAAATTGTGAGTTATTTGCAAAAACTGCAAGGGTACCAATATTTTTGGCCACGACTATATGTGCATGTGAGGAATTTAAGTCATGAGACTTAATTGGAAGAAAATGTTGATTAATTTGCCTACTAAACCACCAAACAATCAACATCCCAATGGGCCACAAATCTGGTTTAATTACAACCTGGGGTGCCTTCTGTTTCTGTCTGGAGTTCATGTTCTCCCTATATTTGCATGGGTTTTTGCCAGGAGCTTAAGGCTACTTCCATCTTCAGCTAGGATGTTTATTGTTTTCAAAATGCCTGTCGGTGTATTCTTGCAATGAACAGTGTATCCCTTCCATGACTCTAAGCGCTTTCTGATAATGGATACTTTACAGACCCACATATTGTACTGTAGGGTGCAATATTAAACTGTAGAAAAGTAAGAATACTCTGTACAATCATTAGTAAATATTTTGTTTAGGATCTACCAATAATGGTAATCTCTTAACTAATAATTCAGCATAAACAAAATCCTTATAAATAAAGTCAGGGAACAGGAGTTGATATACCCTAATGTTTATTTTGTGTTACGGAAGATACACTGGAATTTCAAAAAATTTAAAACATATAAAAAAGTGGTTAAGGGAGAACAATTTATAAACATTCAATAAATATGTAAGAATGTTTATCATACCATACAGAAGAGTACAATGGTGGTGTTAATGCCAAGACGGCTTAATGAAAGTTAGTTTAAAAAATTATACTATGCTTTGTACAAACACCTTCTGATCCTTGTAATACTGTGTTGTTAACAACAGTTCTGCTTAGCTCCAAACAAAATGAGATGCTAGTGTCAATAATTTGGCAAATATTTCAAAAGAAAAAGTGTAAAAATGTAAATCCACAAAAAGCACATTATAACCCACACAGATGAAATCTAGAACAACCATCTAAAAAGAACCACTATCATTTAAGCATTTCAGTAAACAAGCAACATATTTTGCATGATTGAAGATACTTAAAATCAACCCCCCCCCCCCCCAAAATATTTTTTAAACACAAATGGTGTCAAACATGGATTTAGTAGTGTCACTGAGTCTCATCAACCAAGCTTATAGATTACTATACCTGTTATATGAAACAAATTGTCATTAATACACCTTTTATGAAAAAAGAAACATGATCTGATCCCACATAAATCTTGTTTTAAGACTAAAATGCAAAACAACCCACACAGTTTTATGTATTACCAAGGCCAAAGGAATCCACTCTTCAGACCTTGGATTCAGGGTTTTAACTTTTATGCTGAAGATGTAACACTCTGCTTGTAGACTGCATGGTACGCATTCCGTAACAGGACGTATGGGAAGCATGACTCCAGCAAGTCCATAGTAAGGAATGGGGACTCTTGGACAATCTGTTGCAAAATGAAAATAAGATTATATAAAAAATACCTGCTGAATACAACATAAAACTTATTAACCATCTATAAAAGGTTATTAAGGTTTTATATAACATCTTTCAAGACATCTCAAAGCACTTCATACTGGAGGTAAATAATCAAGTCTTTGACAGAAGGAACATCTGAAACATAAAAACAGCATCTCTGTATTAGCAGGTAGGCAACAGGTTAGGCAACGCTAACCTGAAAAAATGCATTTTTTTTTTAATTCTAAATAATCTATCTTATACGGTATCTATGTTATCAGGCCAAACCATGGAATGAAACTAAGATTGCCTTTTTGATAAGGGTGAAAAAGACCAATGCAACATTATATAGGCCTAAGCAATGCAGCGTTCCTTTAGTTAGAAAGCTAGTGCAAATATTAGCAGGTAACTGTTCTAAAGGCAAAGAGATAAATCCTTGGAAATGAGATCATGATATTTGTAAAGGAATTAAGTAAACAAGCAAAGAATGCAGTACTGTTTCATATAATTATAACTTCAAATATAAAATTGATTCAACACAAAACTTTAGTATTTTAGAAAAAGCTTGTTCTGGTATTCCCAGACATCTCGGTGAGCTCACTGTCAAGGTACTTGATTAGCAAAAGGATGACTTCAGTGTGACTATTGTGCTCATGCCAAGCTATGTTTCCTCTGGGAAGTGACTTATGACTCTCAGAGATGTTTGTGGAAAATCCTTTGTTGACTCTTCAGTAGTACCATCCCCTAGGTTATGAATACAGCTTGTACTGAAAAAAACACTCACCATATCAAGGAGCAAGTAAACAGATTCCCTGTTTCGTGTAGTTGTTTTATCTGTCTCCTGTCCAATTTTCAGCAGGCTGGAAGAAGCAAGCTTAAAAAACAATAAAAAGAGTATTAATGCAATTAATCATATAGTCCTATTCTCAGTAAATAATTTGCAAAAGCCCCTTAAGCCAAAGCCACATTTTTTTTTAAGAGCTCTATTTTAATTGCAGTTGTAGGTTACACAAAAGCACAGTCATCTTTACCAATATATTATGCTGAATCTTTTAACAATTGCTTTGTTCCAAGACTGTAAAAAATGCTGTTAGTGAATAACCACATGAAGCAATATTAAAGTTTTAAAACTGTTTTCTAGAGTCTTAATAAAGATTTAAACTGTAAACTAGAGTTGCTGGCAAATTGTTAAATAATTCTAAGGAAAATAGGGTGCACATGCTTTAAACGATGCATAAAAATTCCACGTATTCCAGGAAAATAAATTCAAGGTACTAAGAATTATTTGGAATCTCAAACCTTTATGGAACATTAAGTGTAATAAATCTCACTAATGACAGCACATTTATACTCTTGCTAAGGGTAAAACAGAATGGTGAATTCTCAAATGAAGTCTGACTTGATCAAAGCAGAGAATAAAACCTTTACTGGATACTTCAGTGTCAATTCACGAGTCAAAAAGTGTAACTATTAACAATGTGAGTGGCAGTACCCTTAATGACAAAATAATTAGACTTTGCACTTACAGCCAGAAACTCCTTCAGACGGTCCTCAATACTCCCCTTATGAATGGTAAACAGGGCAGCAGCTATCTGGTTTATAGCTTTTGCCAAACAATGAATATTGTTGCAGTGTCCTTGAAAGAATAATAACAAGTTAGCAAACTATACTGATAAATGAGTTAAAGTCCCCCAATAAGAAAATGCATTACTCATTTTTTAGTAATACATGTATATAAAACCTATTTGGTAAAACTTTAAAACACACAATAATTGTAAATCAACATAGAATAATATATTGTATGTTACAAAATAAAACAAAATCACATACAAAAAATAAGCATCAATATCAGACATTTCTTATAAGCTAAGAACATATACACAACCTAACATTTTAGCTACTTCTAGAAGAATTCAAATTACCTTCAATTGCAGGACTGTACTGTGACATGACATTGCTTGCCAGAGTTGGCATTGAAACTGCCACAAAAACCATCAAAAGGCAAGCAATTTTATATTCCTCCTCTGGGCTGATATTTTCTGGAATAAAACACATTTTAGATGGTTTAGTCTTAAAATAATTGGATTTCCTGATTCTTCTAGCACTATGTTTTACTCTCCATATCCACATCATTTTTAAGGTCAATGAACATCACTTTCTTTTTAACAATGGCAAGAAACAGATACAAACACCACATTGCATCTTTACATTAACTTCATGGATGTTTTTTACACTAATTGAAAGACCTCCAAGGACCATTCTGAAAATTTGTCGAAAGGTCATGTAATTAGTCTAATCTAATTTTTAACGTTTATATTAACTAACCACATTAGAAAAAAATAGAAAATAAAGCTGCTGTAATAAAAATGCTTAAGGATCCAAAACCCCACACACAACCAATCAATGTACATGTACATTAGTCCTGGAATGGATTAATAGAATTTCCTATACAAACCAAAAGATTCACATCTTATGTTTTACTCACTATATACACATTACAGCATGTTGTGCTTTATTATAAAAACAGTTTATTTATATCACAAAACTAAAACACCTGTTATAGTCATTGGTCAGGCAACAGCAACATTTTTTAAAAGCCTGTGCAGAATACTGTTATGCAGTATTGAGGATATCTATATGGATTAGTATACAGACACTGAACAGTCTTGTCCACCCCTCAGTTCAATCAGAGATCAGTTTTTAGGCAGGCCTAGAGAGAAGTGGCAATACAGAAGGCTGCAAATACCAAATCCAAACCCTTCTTAGACAGTGGAGTACAAATAGCTGGAGACTTAAGTAAATTATATGCTAATATAAAAATGAAACTGCAGCTGGTCTAAGGGATTAGTACAGCATATCAGGCCATCATTCTACAACTTTTATCTATCCCTGATTACGAAACAGGATTATGTAGATGCCACCTTTACAGGACAGGTTTCTAGCATTTTGGGCCTTTTTCAAAGACTTTTTCAAGAAACTTCCACACTAACCGAGAGACCAAGTTTAAAATGAATAGAGGTACCATGTTCTTATTTTTTAAAATATTTACTTCCATGCCTTCTTGTAGAGTCAAAAGAAACCTGACTTGCATTTCGCTACATTTATTTGATACAGGATGAAGGGTTTAGCTTCAGCTAAGCCAGCAGGTATGCCTGGAATTTGGCTTTTTATTTTTGTAAGAATGATCTTCTCTTTCGTATGGTGGATTTATCTGTTATTCAGACCCCATTGGGATTTGTCACCGTGAAATGTGGATGGCTATGTGTTGGGTTTGTAAAAGACTCTAGTATTCACTTATTGAAATTATTTCCCAAAAATCTATTTTTTTCATCTGTCATTTTTTTGTAAATAAAAAGGCTGTGTTTAAGTTGTTCAAAGGCAATGCTGCACATCAAACAAAGATGCTATTTGACTATACTCTGAATCACTTGATGGCTGAGACATTGTGTTGAACTTTTCTAAAATTGCTAAACCTGCTTGATGGGCTGATGTGAAGAAATCACTCACATTTATCACTTAAAGATTAGTATTATGGGACTCCTGAGTGGCTCAAACAACATAGTTGCTAACTTGAGTGCAGTTTAATCCAGGCATCATGGGTTGGAGCCCGGACCATGTCCTTAACTGACTGTTAGTGCGGGAGTCCCTAAGTGGCAGGGGCTTTTATTATATTACTTGACAGGGATCTGGACTACCTGCAAAACACTGATATCTTCAGCCACTAGGGTGCTTGTAAGTTAGGGATACCCCGCTGCTCTTAATTGTGCCGACCCCCTGCATGGAGCTGTGTTCCCTCTGATTATTGTGCTATCGCATAAGTAGCTTGATGGTGGGTGGGTCAGAGAAGTACGCCTTTATTTCATCACTACAGAATTTACTGGAGAATTTGTAGCCACCCATCAGGAGATGGAAAAGACAGAACTGGCTATTCCAAATTCGGTGAATTTAAATATTTGTCGAGGCTGAATAGAAAAAATAGCAAAAGTTGACACTCCCTTTTTATTACAACTGATGTTTGAGCTCAACTGCCTGAGGCAAGCCAGTCTAATTTGAAATTATATACATTTAATTTATATATATAAGAGATTTCTTAAATTGTTGCACAAAACTGAATTGCTAGTGTTTCATGATATTAACTTAGCTTCCATTAATCAACCACCAATTGAACAAAGGAGATGGACTGAACAACCTCTTCTATTTCATTAAGTGTGAATACAACATCCAAAGCTCATTTCATGCAGGGATTTGCCAAATAAAAAAAGACAGAAAAAAATGAGGGAAAATGACCATAAAAGGAAAATACAAATCTTGCACTTTCTACCCTGACACAAGATTACCTTAACTGATGCACTGAAGACCAGAGACTTCTGGATAACCATTTTTTACTAAAGTTTTAGAATAACCCAGATGATGCTGTCAAATGCAATTATATATACGCCAAAATAGGGATACATTCACTTTTTATGCAATATATTTACTTTTTAAAACACTGATCATTTTCTTGTTTTTTTTAAGTATCAAGGGCCAAGACAAACTATATACACTATTGCACAGTAATTAACTGTAAATTATATTAAAAGTTCAACATTTGGAAATAATTCAAATAAGGCAATTTTGGGTCAATGAAGGTTTAATAACAGGGACTATTTTGATACTAAACATTAGGGGGTTTATGTTAAACAGTAAGGGCATGTGACAAAAATTTCTCAACAGACCAGAGACGGAACCGAAATCCCACAGGCTCCGAAAAGCTCTAGGAGAGTTAGTAGTAGTAGTATTATTATATATTTCCTTTACAGGCCAAAAGCAGGAGTCTCAACCTGAAGATATTACTGTGGATGTATTTTCTGCTCAACAGCAAAAGTACCCTTCCATTGCTGGAAAATAACGTGACAACCTGTCATCAATGTATATAAACACAAATATGACTATATAAGTGGAAAATTACTGTGCTGTACAGAATGTCAAAAACTGTTTGGACTCGCATTAGCCATCAGTTCCATTATTTCCCCCTGCCTTCTAATTTATTAGAAGTTAATCAAACCATTTTAATTAATAAAATACGATACCTACAGTACACTTGTGTTTTCATGGGAGTTTCCTAATCAAAGTTGGACATCATTAAATATGTTCTGGGCTGAAGATAAGTATTTAGAGTCATAAACAAAATATCTTATTTTAACATAAAAATGTGCATTTCAAGAAATCCTAAGAAGATTATTCACCAAGACAAAACCATTACCAGAGCCTGTTCTGGTATAGGCTATGTTTTGTAATATTGCTTCAGATTATTTCTAAAATTGAGATCCATGCCATTAGTTGTTCTTTACTTTTCCATATTCGTGTTGTGATTCTGTCTCCGCCTCCTTCAGAAATTTAACACTTCAATATGCTAACAATCCTAAACACATACAAATTACCTCAATTTATACAGAGACTTTGGGGATAAGTAATGTGTAGTAGTGGTAAGGGCTTTGGACTCTTAACTGGAAGGTTCAAATCCTAACTGGGTGACTCCTGTTTTAACCTTTTTAGAAAAGTATTTCAACTCAAATTCTTCAGTAAAATGGTGAGCTGTATGAATGAACATTATTCCAGTAATTCACCTTTATTAAAAGCAACAGCCAAATGATCAATTTCACATTAATGACTATTTTTTATAATTACTGTACTATCACAGAACAGACACTATCTCAAAATATGAAATGATTACACTAGCCTGTACTTCGTGGCTTTTTCTGCATATGAAGGTGATCGAAAATATATAGAAAATTAGAGGAAACATATATACAGTAACTGCAACAAATTCACCACAATCAGAAATTCTACAAACTTTTTTGTAGCAAGCACACCAATATTTTACAGACATGACACTGGGAATTCCATTATGCTAATCAACATTTGTAATTAACAGTCAATCTACTATTAAAGTCACAGATTAGTATTGCATGCTCTTCACTAGGCTGATGCTGTTGTGTATGATTCAGTTATATTTGTTTTGTAAAGCCTGAATAAGCATGTGCCTGTTCACTGGTCTCTGAGTCCTACATAATTCATGCTGTCCTATCTCAGACCATAAATGTTCAATGTTAGCACCAGACTTGGTGATTCAGACACAACTGGCATTGGCACAGTATATGAGCACCATGAGGCTACAACGTTATGTCAAAATGAGACCACATTATCACAGAACAGACACTATTCCAAAGACTATCTTAATGAACTGCGGTTCCAGACCCAAGTGTTGTTGCACCTTGTAGTTAGGTTGCCATCAACCTATGTAGCAAATTCATACTCGCCACTAGACCATTGCACTTGAACATACACTGTTCCACCAACTGTGCACTACTTATTTTAAAAGAATTTGCTCACATAATATAATAACATTACCCTGACTAAAAGGGCCATTAGCTGAAATATGTTTGATTCACTGAATTAGACTGTTACTGAATCACAAAATTGAGTCTGAATCAGTAAATGATTTAGACGATACTGAATCAGAGAATTAAATCTAAGCAAACACAAACATATTTAAGCTAGAGAATGTAACGGCACCAATAAAAACCAAAAACCAAAATTTCTGAAAAAAGGCTAAAATTAAGAGATAATGCAAAATAGATAGTTTTGGTAGTATCCCTTCTTCCATATGAAACTATTTTAAGAAACAAGACTCTATTTTTATGAAAATCATAGATGAAATATCACATATATAAAAATGAGGTGTTGAGAATGTAGCTTATTTGTTATAGATGGTTGTCTGCAGGGTTAAAAAGAAGTAAAACAAAATTAAAAATACAGACTACTGACTATGAACTACACTTATTTAATTATACCAAATTAAACCAAAACTATTTTGTTCTAGTAGTTGATTAGGTAATATAACATGTTGACATCAAAATGAGATTTTATTTATTAATATCTCAAGAAAGGTAAGATGGAATTATTAAAGGAGAACTAATGAAACATTAAACAGTAACTTGACAATTGAAGTGTAATTTCTGAACAAATTAAATCAAATAATAGTTATCAGCTAAACTTTTAACAGTGTACTAAAAATCAGCATTTAACAGTAAAACCAATATCACACCATATTTTCTATGGGACGCACAACTGAAGTGGAATTGAAAGACTGATTTGGATCACAGAGATTTCAGTTTACCTATTTAAAATACTTCGTTAATACATTATCCAAAATTTTAAAGACAAAATTCTGTATTCTTCTTGTAATTGGTGTATACTGTACAGTGTTTGAATGCTCTTATCAAAGTCTGATGTAATTTTTGAAAAATAACCAGCAAAATACATCCTTAACACAGACATTGAATCCAAGTACTTTATTAATAAGGGATTATGTGTTTTATAGAGTTCAACAATTTCTGATTTCATCATGTTTATTATATCACATTTAACTCAAGTTTCCAAGTTCCTCCCTTTTCTCTCTGAGCTCTCAGTTTGGATCTGAATCATTTTCTGTGTTCCCCCATTAGGCTCCAAGCTCAAGTCCTCTCACTGAACTGAATGACTTAGTGAATCCAATAAATAAATCATCTAGGAAACTGGGAATTCATCTGTTTTATTCACTGAAATTATTCAATTAAAAAAACAAACTGTGAACAACACAGCTCTACAGTATACGGAAAACAGGAAAAGACAGCATTTAAGAAGTAATTATTTTTTCATTGGAAATAAGTCAGTGAAAGTAAACTTCCTAACCACAACAAGTCATTATTTTAAGCATATTTGATAAGTTTTATCTTAGATAATTTTTCAACCTTTGACTTACCAGACTTTTGAGAAGATAAAGCCACAACTAAGGCTGGATCAATCTCACAGGGCAATCCTGCTGCTGAAGAAAGCTCATACACATTCATTGCCACCTGTTAAATTCAAGAGTTAATGATACATTTCCTGTCTAAAATTAACTAATAGATAATAAGCCTTTAAGCACAATATACACTATAGTTATTATATTAAATCTAAAAATGATTCACAGTACAATATTCTCTAAGTATACCTATATAATTATTTTCATACAACAAAGGCTACAATCTGAAAACGATGTTAAAAAGAGTTACAAAAAAAACATTTATAACGTCAGATTTGGAGACTGAGGTGATAGAATGTTCTGATTTGCTCATCTATGTGTTCATATTTTTGGGGGGAGTAAGGCGGAACATCCGTTTACCTTCATATCAGTTTCTCTTGGAATGTGATCCTTGAAGTCTTCGACTGAGCTTACAAGAAAGGGAATGTGGCAAGACAACACCTGCAGTATGGCAAACCAATTAGAACAAATTGAGAAACGATTCTATTTTATGGTGTGCTTTTGTTAATTGGTTAGCCTTGTGTGGATTGAACATCAGAAAACAATAAACACATACGATATCTACTACTTAAAAACATGTTATCATACAGTTTCAGGACAATACAGCTACTAGATACAGCATTTAAACTAATCAGAGCAGTAGATTATATGTGTAGAATTGAAACCTACATCTCTGAGTGCTTCTTGTGCCAGTGAGCGGAATGAAAGTATCACACCGATAATGGTCATCCTCTTCAAGACACTGTCAACTGCTACAATACCAATAAAAGCAAGACTTTAATTGCATGGTTTTTAACTTAACTAGGTAATATAAAGCATTAAGTACAACAGCATTGACATAAACATACATAACATTAACAGCAACAACAGGAAGTATGGCACAATACTAATATACCAAAAGTAGATTCATTCATATAATAAATAATAATAACATCACTTTATTAACCCTTTACAATTTCTTGCATTAGGAATTATCTTTTTGCATACTCCAGCTTGCTCTCCATGAGACATACAGACACACAGATAGGGAGAGAACCTGGGGTCAGAGGGCAGGGTCTGCCATTGTACGGCACCCCTGGAGCAGTTGGGGTTAAGGGCCTTGCTCAGGAGCCCAACGGAGTAGGATTCCTCTGCCGGCTGCGGGATTTGAACCGGCAACCTTCTAGCCACAAGCGCAGATCCTTAGCCACAGAGCCACCGCTCCGCCACATATAGGTTCTCTTTTTATATATTGCTTTTTGAACAGGACTGGAATACAATGTTACCTAAAGGATGATTTGTGTTTAAAACTTAACACATACATAATTTGATTTGATGATACTAATAACAGCTATATGTGTCACATTCTCTATTCCTTATCTGCTTGGCAGTTTCTAATCCATAAAGCATTTTATTGCCAGTGAAATGTTCAGATGCTGCTTAATACCCACATGTAAGCTTCTTGAACAGTGCTGCCATCTGGTCTGGCTTGTCAAAGCTGGTCCTCATTTGTGTCAGCACTTCAACATTATCCACCACCAGTTTCTAGAGAGAAACAAGGCCTCATGTCAGACATCGTGGCAATAAGGGAATAAGGCAAAAAGAATCCTGAGGACTTTTCAATTTGGAAAACAGGAAGCAGCAGTTATGAGTACCAGATGTGCCTGCTATTCTGTTTTCTTAAAGACATTTAGATCCATGTAATTGTACATTATGGGTCTCTTGGCTCAAAACAGACAGTTTTAAAAAATGACACTATACATTTCTTCTTCTATTACACCAGAAATTGCACACACTAATCAACAGTAGCAGAATATTGTTTAAAGTCTCTGGAAATTAATCTGAGAAAAAAAGGCTGTCTACTATTTCTACAGCAAACTGTACCCATTATAAATAAACAGGGAAGAAAGTACGATTTTTAAAGCAAAATGCCAAAACTTAAAAGTAGCTGAATTTTACAAGAGTGCAGGTGGGTAGCTGCATCAGCATGCACAGGCTGCAAAGGAACAAGTAATAGGTTTATTCCATGCTGAAAAGAGAAGAAAGAAAACACATTTCGGCCGTGGAGCCTTATTCAGGTGTGATAAACCTATTACTTGTTGAATTTTACAAGAGTTCTATAAAACTAATTGACATTACTATACATTATATGTTTAAATAATACATATAAATCTGGAATAAATACAGTTATTCCAGTATAGATTAAGAAAGCCAGGTTTCTTAGATTTCCAAAACAAGGACATATGTCCAATTACTCAAGTTGAGATCAGGGAGATCTTTCTCTCCAAATACCCCTCTTAAGGCATCTGCATCAATCATAAACATTGGAAGGCCCAGCAACAGAGTTGGCAGGTGTAATACTATCGAGCACCAAACCCACCAACCTTAAAAAGACCAAATAATCTGAACATGCAACAGGAATCCAAAGTTGCATCTGACAACCCTTTCGTTCACCAGGACAAAACTCAAACTCTACATCATAACCACCTGCAAAACATGCATTTACCCAGCATTACCATTCTGGCTACATTGCATTATCTGCAAACTTTAGATTTGAATTTATCATTTAACTCTTAAAACCTTAACACATTTTCATATAATAGGGTCTGCTGGTATTAATAGGATTTATTGATACAACAACCCACAATAGAGAGTAGAATTAAGACATAATAGCAGAATTAAGATGACGCTGCTTTCTTGTTTAATTTCCAATATGAGTTTCAGTTTGAAAATAGGAAGCCAATGCATTTCAATGGTGATACTCCCACACCACTACCTTTTAAAAGATGATCATTACTGCCAATTGCTGAATAGGAACCATAACTTTACCTTGAGTTCTGCCACCTGCGATGAGATGTGCCACATGAGACTTTCACTGAGAAATTTCATTCCATATGGTCCCAGCAACTCGGAAAGAGCCCTCATTTCTGTGGAAGAAACATGAAACATGCAACACTATTTGTCAGTGCATGGAAGCCTAGTCACCAACTACAACCACTAGGATGCTAGCTTTCTTATTCTACATACCAATTTTCTCAACCATTTAATTAGTAATACAAATATACTGCTGTTTCTCACCAAGCATCATTAGACACTCCCAGAAATTCTGTATATAATTTAGCTTTAACTATCTCTTTCATTTAATAACTTTTAGTTTTTGGCAGCCATCAAGCAGTGATTACTACATGTTTAAATACAAAGGTTAAATTTTTATGCCCATTATTTTATTTCTAAAATAATTTAGAGTGTGGCTCAAAAATATCTGGGTAGTTGAAAACTAAATAAATTAATTTCTAATTGTCATAATGATCAATACAACGCACATTTTATTTTTAGATAATAACATCCGTTCATTTGATCATAATAGGAACAAAACATTCCTTGTGTTTAAACAGTGATTTCAAGTGACCAAAACTATCGGGACACATGCAAATTAAGTACATTTCAGAGTGTTAAATATTGTTGTTTTTTTTAAATGACCATCTGTCATGTTTTGGTAAGGCTTTGCTGAGTTCCTGCCTATTCTTTGGATGTTTTGACTGTGATTTTGCTAACATTACTCCAGCACTCCAGAGATTGTCAGTGCTCACACTGACAGTTGTTTTCAGGTTTACCTTAATAGCTCTGATGATTTTTTTTCATATTTTTGGCTGACTTCATTTTTTTTGCCTTTGTTGATTAGTAATAATAACGTCAGTTTTTTTCTTCCTTGGTATATTCCAAATAGTTCATCTTGGCACACCCAAGTTCTATTCTGAGGTTCTTATTGATTTCTTTCCTTTTCAGCTTCAAAATTGCCTATGCTTCTTTAACAGTAAGGTTTTTGGTTTTCAGTTTGAGATTTGACAACAGACTCCAAACACTGAAGTCAAAGTGAGAAAAGTTAATAGGATATTCACAGCTCTTTTATTGGATAAATAATAAAATAAGACTTTATTAATCCCATAGGGAAATTGATGCCTCTTTACTCAACAAATTACCTGACCAACAAGAGAAAAATGTCAGCCAACTGGCCCGATTCTTTTACTCCAATGCTATGAATTTCATTCACTAAACAGGGTAGAATTTAACTATTTTGTATTTAGTTCAATTTAGAAGTTGTAGTGGTTTTAGTTTATAGCTAAAAGCTTATCATAGGCTACATAATCACATGCATGGTATATTATATCTTCCAAGATTATATTTCTGTGTTCCATGAGGCTATAACATGAAGATTATGAAGAGGAACATTTTGGCCACATCTGTATCTATTAATCTTACCCGATATGTCTGAGTATTCTTCTGCATTAAATGTCAATTCATTCTCTGTAGGCAAGTTCACAAATGCTTTCATGGCTGGAAAGTATGCAATGTGTCCATTGCTTACTTGTCTCAGTAACGTTTCCAAATACCTATAAAAAAAGATTTTATAAGATATAGTTATTTGCAGCACTAGAGCCCTTTTGGAATTGATCATTTAATTGCTACTACGGAATATTTAATTCTAGATTTTTTTCTTTTAAAATAAAGACTGAAATGATACTTGATAGGTATAGTGCCTTTCAAAAGTATTCAAACCCTTGCACATTTCATATTTTGTTGCTTTAAAGCTGTTACATACACAACCAACCCAAAACCACCTAAGTGAAACTGCAAATTGTAGCAAGTGTTTTTGTGATCAGCCAAGTCAAAATTTGAACTCTGTGATCTAAATGTAAAGCACGGCATTTGATGCAAACCTAACTCAGTCAACACCATCCCTACTGGCAAGCGTGTTGGTGGTGCCATTATATCATAGTTCTGCTTCTCATCAGCAGGGACTGGAAAGCCTTTCAAAACTGATGGGAACACAGATAGTGCAAAGTACCGGCAAATCCTAGAGGATAATTTTCTGCTGACCTAAAACTGGGATAAAATTTCACCTTTTGACAGGACATTGATCCAAAGCACAAGGGCAAAGTTACACATGAGTGGTTTCAGAGCAGTAAACTGAATGTCCTTGAGATGCCCATTCCAAATCCTGACTTAGATTCTATTGTGATCAGTGTAAAGACTTGAAATGTGATCACCAAGCAATTAGTGAGATAATCTGTTAATATAAATATGCACAAATTGCATCAACACATTATGAAAAGTTGGTAGCGACTTATTCAAAAAGATCTGGGACTGGAATTGGTGAAAATGGTGCTTTCACCAGATTCATGGGTATCAACACTGATGCATTAATCATGCATTTTAAAATGGGCATGCATCATTTTGTAATTTCCGAAAATGTGGTGCCATAGAAATGGTCTGAGTACTATTTCAAGGCACTGTTTAGCTATTTCCAGCAATCTGCTTCTTTTAGTTTTCTTTTCTTTCTTTTCTTTTAAGATGCATCGGTTCCATACACAACAGATTTCTCCAAATACTTACCAGTTTGTGTACAGACTGGTTATTGTTGGTTCTCCATGACTATCTAAGTGCTGTGTCTGCTGCAGGAGAACATTGTTAAACACTCTTGTGATATCAATCTGTACATAGTTTTCAATGGACTGCAGTACTGTCATGTAGGCCCTTACACTGGTCAAAAGTTCTGAGGGTTTTGCAATTTCTTGTGTTGCCTGATTGTACATAGTCATCCCAACAATGGATCTAGAATACAGAGAAGAAAAAATAAACATATAATCCTTCTGTTCATATATTTGAGAAAGTACATTTTAACATATTTATCTCCATTTGAAGATTAAAGGCAAATGAGCTTTGAAACATGAGAATATTTTCCAGATAGTGTACACTATGGGTACCTTCAGGCTCAATGTTAGACATAGCCTGCTACAATTTAGAAAGAACATTCCAAAAAATCAGGATAAAAATTATAAAGATAAAAGTATATTAATTACTTGCCATTGCATGACAAAAGTAACAAAAAACCTAAATATCATTAGTGAAGCAAATTCTGAATAAGTAGCATATTTGTTTTCAAACAAGTAAGCTTGTTTGAGTAAGGTCCCCAAGGATAATAACATTTTAATTCCTTCCTTGACCTGCAGGACAAAGGAGCAGTAAATAGGTGTAATAAGCCCACACAGGACAGGAAAACTGGATTACCTTTGGGGTCCAGTGCTCAAGAAAGAAAACCTAGCCAAGCAACTCACGTCACAGCCTTGAAGCTGAGAGTGGAAAATACCTGTTATTCATCAAGCTTTGTTTATTTGGTTGGATAAGTTCTTTGCTGGACTGCAATCAAAAGTCACTTTACTAATCAAAACTGCATCTCACTCTCCAATAAATACAGTTAATTAAAAGGTAAACTGAAGAACAGAAAACAGGGGGATTATGCCACTGAGTGAGTTTGACAAACAAAGATTGTAAACCATGTTTTTAATTCATGTTATACAGTACTTATTTCTTGGTAAACAGGAGAACCCTCTTTCAGTTTCCAAAATTCCCAGTACCGTTTCAGATGCAAAATGCAGTTTTCTCTCTTGATATTTAAAATGTAACTGCTTTTTCTGACACAGATATACATACTTGGTAAAGCGGATTTCCAGATGTGACGTCAAATATTCCCTTGGAGTGAAGGTGTGTTCCCAAACGATCATATTTGGTACGTAATTGATAGAGAAACACAGTTCTGACAGTGCTGTATGCAGCTTATCCAAGCTAAAAAATAAAACACATATTGAAGAGATTTCCCTTGAATTACACTGTAGATCAATGATATTGAAATAAATTAACTTTCAAACTATCTTTTAACTTCAAATGTTCAGTTCAATCACTCTTTTGTAAAACTCTCTTCTCTAACACAGATGAAGACTTTGGGATCGAGGCTGGCCTTTTTCACAGTTCAGGGTCATTAGTTAGATAAAATACCAGCAGGATCACAGGTCACAGGGTAACATGACTGCCAAGCCATAAAGAAAACCAAACCCAGGCTTCTCTACTCACTGTTTTAAAAAAGATGTTCTCACCAATTAAATTAAACACGTACACTTTAAGATAGATGAGCACTTACTTGGTAACAAGAAGCCTGTTCTTTCTCATGCTTTCAACTCCCGGCTTCTCTCGTTCAGGTTCTCCTTTCTTCCCAGTCTGCTTTTTAGACTTCTTGTTCACCGCTTGACTGATGGTTTTGGCACAATGTTTTGGCAATAACTGAAATGGCAGAAGAAAAGGATTATCTTTATCAAAACTTTTATAAGAACTCCGCTGATTAACTGGATTCTGGGCATTGGATGGACAAGTCTGGTAAATTATGAGCAAACCGCACATTCATTAATGAAAAGAAAATGAAATAATGTCTTTAACAACACCAGACTCTCCTAAAAACAGAAAACGGTGAAGGCTATCTGATTAAAAAGTACAGAACATGAATTGAGCTTGTTATTTTAAACTAGAAAGAACTGCACTATCACAGTACAATGTATTTCAGTGGAAAGTACATCACTTAGTACAATAACTTGAATACGTCACAAGCATTTGTACTGGAAAAAAAATATAATGATATAATTGAAATAACTGGTACAGCGTTTCTGAAGGTAGTACTTTGAAGAATATAGAAGCTTGTCAACTATTTTTAGATAGTTGTTCATAATGATTTTGTGAACAACTTATGATTTTAAACCAGTGCCCTCATTACATATTCAATAGTATGATTAATAGTTTGCATGACTGTGCATACATATGCAAAGAAAGCAAACCAGAAGAATAACCACATGTCTGACCTACCTTTTATTTGTACTTACATCCAAACAGAGCTTAAAGGAAACATGGCATTCCTCAGCCTCTTACCTGGTCACTAAGAGTGCACTGCTCTGTGCAAATGTCTGTAATGAGATTCCGGGCTTGTTTTGCCATTTCATCCAAAAACATGTTACACAAAGACAGACTCCGGTCTCCAATATGATGTCGCTATTCAAAAGAAAGAATAATCAAGATTTTGGGAGTACCAGCACCATACATTTCTAATTTATTGGAATAAACAGTGTAAATAATGGAGATGACTAAGAACAATCACTCTTATTAACAATTATGTTTTCCATTCATTTGATGTGACAAGTAATTGTGTACACTTTACCACCAATAATTTCAAACATATGGCTGATTTTACAGATTTACCATTTTAATGCTTCTAAATTGAATCTGAAACTTTTAGTCAAGTTTCACAAAATACCTTTTAATACTTAAAATACATTAAGAATATAATTTTACTGTTTTGCATGATTTAAAAAATACAGAACAATAAAATGATATATTTTTCCCATTTACTTTAATAAGAGGACAGATGCAAGTTACAAATTTGAACACTTTCTTTTGACTTTTCGAAGGATCAACAAAACCTGCGCTGCCAATTAGCACTCATCTGTAAACATTTCCCACTGTTTTTTCTTAAGGAACTGCTCTTACTATTATTTTTGTGCTTCCTTGAACTAAACCCAGATACCTTGCATTTAAATGTACTGGGACAGCACAGTCAAAACCATTATTTTTGCTTTACAGTCATACAATTTATATTTGTGATCATGAAATTAAGATTTTATTTTTGGGTAATTCTATGCATTAATTTGATCATAGAACTAAAACATACTTTTTTACTTTTTTTAAGTCACCATATATTTCTGTGAAAAAAGTACTTGCCCCCTTTAAAATTTTCTTGATGTTTGCATATTTTTGGCACTGAATGTTATCAGAGCATCATAGGTTGCTATTAATATAAAAAGTAAGACTGATTGAACAAATAACACCAAAGATAGGCGCTTGCTTCAGTTATTTCAAGTAATTCAACATCCAGTGTCCCTGTGTGAAAAAAGTTCACAAACCCTTAGATTCAGTAATTGGTTGCACCACCAATAACTGCAACCAAACACTTCCTTGTGATGATGATCATTCTCTTGCATTACTGTGTAGGAATCCGGGCCCATGCCTCCATGACAAACTGTTTCAAAACACTTGGGGGTTTTCCTGCATGAACTGCTTGTTTCAGGTCTTGCCACATTTCTATGGGGTTTAGCTCTGGACTTTGACATGGCCATTCCAAAACATTGAATTTCTTCTTCTTTATCCACTCTCGGGTAGACTCGCTTGTATGTCTGGGATCATTGTCTTGCCTGCATGACACAACTGTGCTTCAGCTTCAGCTGATGGACAGACTGCCTGATATTCTATCCATCCATTTTCTTACCCCTTTATCAATACAGGGTCATAGGAGAGCTGGGGTCTATCCTGACAAAGAGTGGGCGCAAGTCAGGATACGCCCTGAATGGGAATGCCAGTCCATCACAGCACTAATGCAGAGGAAAAACAAGCACACTCTCACCACAGGGCCAATTTTCTCAAAAACCAATTAACCTACCAGAATGCCTTTGGACTGTGGGAGGAAACTGGAGCACCCAGAGAAATAACACATACAGTGAGAGCATACAAACTCCACGCAAATAGCACCCCAAGAATTGAATCTGGAGCCCCACCACTGCGAGGCAGTAATGCTTAACACTGTGCCACATGTTGCCCAGATAAACTGATATTCCCCTGTAGAATTCTATCATACAAAACATCAGCTTTCTTCAATGACGGAAAGTCATCAACGTCCTGGAGCAGGAAAAGACATACCCAAATCATGACACCACCACTACCATGCTTGACAGTTGTTATGAGCTTCTTATTGTGAAATGCAGTGTTTGGTTTCTGCCAGATATAACAGCACCCAGGCGGGCCAAAAAGTTCCACTTTTGATTCAACTGTCCATAGAACGTTCCTCCAACGTTCCTCCAAGTCTGTAGGGTCATCCAGGTACTTTTTGGCAAACTTGAGACGAGCATCAAAGCTACTTAGTAAGCAAGCAGTAGTAAGTGTAGTCTTCTTTACTACTCTCCCACAAATCCCATTTTTTCCCAGTGCTTTTCTGATGGTGGAGTCATAAACACTGATTTTATCCAAGGGCAGAAAGGCCTGCATATACCTGGAGTGATTTTGGAAGAACGACCACTCTTGGGAAGGTTCACTACTGTTTCAAAATCTTCTCCATTGCAAGACTTATGTGTCTGACTGAGGATACATGGAGCCCAGATCTTTTGAAATAGTTCTGCAACCTTTTCCAGAGTGACAGGCATCAATTACTTTTTTTCTGGAATATTTTTTGAGCGGGGCATGACATGCCTCTTGATTCTATATGGTAATTCACTATGATAAGAGCCAAAGTTCGTGCGTTTGATATAGAGGGGGCTGACTGTTTAATAAGGTATTTACATAACCGATCCTAAGTTATCCTTTTAAATGAATTAATTGAAATAAAGGAGCATTATGTTTTTGCACAGAGACACTGGACATTGGATTACTAACAAGCACTAAACTGTGGTGCTATGTGTTCTCTCAGACAACTTTCACACATAACTAGGTCCCAGATAAATCTCTGATGACATTCAGTGGTAAAAACATGCAAAATCTCAGAAAAAACAAATACTTCTCTATGGAACTGTATTTACCGAGTAAATTCTCATTAAATAAGTCAGCAGTTTCCAACACCACCTTCATATTTTATCATACATTTAGGACAAAACTGACATAATTATGACAAAATGAGCTATGTACTTAGCAGAAAGAGAAACCATCAGCATAGGTAAGGAAAAATAGACTTAACTTTGGGTTTAATATGACCTTTGTTACCAACTCCCTGATCTTTTTTCTGTTACTATAAACTGCTCTGATTTTTTTGTGTGCTGGGTGGAAATATTCATGGAAACTTTTAGTGCTTTTCCAATATAAATAAAGTTTGCAGCTGTCTAAAGCTGTGTAGAGTGGACATAGGAAGAGGAACATTTCAGAGGCATGCTGAGAAAGGGAGTTTCATGTTTGAACAAGGGAAATCCAAGCTTTACATGGCTCAATAAATCTCTTTTATTCTTTTAAGTGCTTTCAGATAGTTTTTTTGTCAAGTTATTTTGTGCCACATGAAAATGCACCATTTATTTTTGTCCTGGCAGTTAACTAATTAGAAGTAGCAATCTTTCCATATAGAGCACTGCACAGCTATGGAAGAACTCAAATGTTTTCCAGGAATGAGAACTATTTAGTGTTCCATGAACAACAAGAATATTTCTACTGAGGAATGAAAACTCCTTTGTGTAGAACTCAAATCCCCAATCTTCAGTGGTGTACAATTAACATTGTAACTCAATAAATCATCTTCAGCCTTTTGTTAAAAAGATGATTTTGCAATGATTACAGCTTTGAAACTCTATCTGACTTTTCTGATATGATGTTCTAGTTACATATACTGCATTTCCTTTCTGTATTCTCAGTATGGCATCTTCCTGCTCTCTACGGAATGTCACTCTACCACTGTGAGATGAATAAGCAGTACAGGACTTTTCCCACGTTTTCCATTTCCATTCTCAAAAACCCTACCACCAAGATTATCAAACCATTTTTTTAATTTTACTTGTATAAAACAAAGGTGATAACATCACACAATCTCCCACATCCAGTAAAGCATGGGAATATCATGTTGTGAGCTTCATATTCAACATGAAGGATATTTTTATGGGAAAGATTTTTTGCTGTTGCCTATCCCAACACTAACCAGGCACAAGTCTGCTTAACTTCTAAGATTAAACTCTAATCAAACACTTCTTAAAAACAAATAAAAAAAAATCACAGATTTTTCAAATATAAATTAGATGACAAAACAAGACTATTATGCAATTTACAACACTAAAAATGTTATTTGACAGACAGATATATTTTTAAGACACCATAAGGGTGAAAGAGGCAAAAAGATCAAGTGACGTATAAACAAAATGGTAGAAGAAAAAATATGGACTTAGATGACTAGAAGAAAGCAACGCATCAGCCTAATAGAAGTTATGGCACAGATCCACCTACTGCATGTCTGATATTCTCTATTTTGAAACATAGCATGCCTTCTCCTGGGTGAGTGAAAGAAGAAAGATGGAAGTGATTTTTACATTGTAATCAACCATGAGTGGTGTTTTGGATCTGTTTTTTGAAGAAGTGCCACACTTTAGAATAGAGTTCCATAATGAAACAGCTAACAATCACACAGAGGCACAGTTAAGATAAACTCTAGTTTGGCTGTCCTACCTCTTCTGGGCACAGTTCATGGGTACAGCTCATGAAATGGGTGCAGACCAGTGGGAAAGAAATCGAGTATCTAGATTGTGAAGGCAGCTCCAAACATTGCTGGAACATTTTCTCAAATGCACGACTGTAAAAGCTATCAACAAAAAGAAAAAGAGATGTTGGCAAATTCACAGCTCCATCTGTTTAAATCATAGTAAATCCTTTAAAACTGCTTCCCTGATTTGGTCTAGTATAAGGCTACTGAATGTTCTATATTTACTAATCTTAAGTCATTTAATTTAAATCACATACCCCTGCATATCATTAAGCAGCTGAAACATGCTCATGTATTTAAAGATTATCTTAAAAGACACCCGTTAAATAACAGAAACATTCCTGATGCACTCTATTACTAATTTCCTTCCTGATGTAGTTGTTTGAAGAAAAAAACATTGTTTAATTAAACAAACAGTAACACCAAGTGATAAATATTAAACATTTTAAGTACATGAATGCCCTCAACATTCCTGAGCTATTAGACCCCAAACAGTTTCTAAATCGTTCTTTAAAATTTGATTTTAGTGCAGCTAATATGAATTTGAAAAAAATTATGCTTTATCCATACCAGAATATAGAGAGATCCGAGGTTTCCACTAACATTTCCACAAGTGAATCTACCATTTTAGTGTGAAAAATAATAGTGTTCATCATCTTTCCAAGTTCTCTGTGGTCTGCCAAACCCAGGGAGGCCTTGGACACACTTGTGTAGGCCTGTTAAGAAGAATAAATACACACTTAACAGATATAAATAAAATAATGAAGAAAAACTACAGAATAAACTACAAAATTGAATTAGGGAATGGACCAAGAACTACCTCAACTGAATCATAGATATTATATCCAAAATGGTTTCAACAATCATTAAGACAAAGGCCAACAAAATATTACTTTTCGTTTTTATACTCTACAAAAAAATATCGCTAAATCCATTTTTATTGGTTTCTGTCCACATTACCCCATATGCACAAATGTCATGGCTACTTGAACACTCTGTCCAAGGCAGTCTAGTTATTTTTGCTTCCAAATGGTTTTATTAAAATAGCAAATCTTCAAAACACATCAAGAAAAAGCTTTAGTAAAGTAAGTAAAGGCAACATAAAAGAAAACAGTTGAATGACTTGATTTTATAGAATGAGAAATTCTATATCAGCTGCCCTCCATAGCTATTTATATCCCGATGAAAAGGGAAAAAAAAACAGACAAATTTAAAATTGGATATGTGCCTTACTTGAAATATTCTAAAAATGTTATCCTGTAATCTTAACAGCTTTGCACAGAGCAAAGTCAAACTTGTCATAAATGATTTAAATCCCATAAACATGAGAGTCACATTTACTCATACCCCATGTAGGTAGTATTTTGCAAATCCTGGCATAGATTACACTGACAAGATGCCTCCTGTAGTGTGCTATGAGCTTCTGGTACCACTGAGTTTTTTTTACAATTCCTTCAGGCAGACTGAGAACTAGAGATTAAGATGGTCAGTCAAGAACATTTATTTTGTGCTCAGTCAACTATTTCTTTGTTAATTTCGATGTATGATTTGGACCATGTTCATAAATGAACATTCCAGTGTGGCAATATTTGAGCTTCTTCCAGAGGTAGCCAGGTGTTTGGAAAAAATGTTCTGCACATGTTGGAGTTCATGATTCTCCCTATTTTAACAAGGGCTCCATAGATGTAAAACAACCTCAAAATATAATAATTATTTTTTTCTGGGTATTTTATTTAAAAAATACATGGGAATAAATGTGAACCTTATGTTATCTAACTGCAAATATGACTTTGCTCTGTGCAACTACAATACAGGTTCAGCCTGTATTATTCAAGTGTCTAATCTACACGTTATCTATATGTTATATGATGTTTTTGCTAATGTTTCACTGGACATGAGAATAAATTTGGAGGGTGGCTGTAGTATAAATCAACTCTTTACAATCATAAATCCTTTATAAGACATTCTTTTGGAAGAAGCAAAAATAACATTGGAATAAAATATCCCAAAAACCCCAGATCAAACATGACCTGTTAGTTTTTCATAATCACTGCCAACTAAAGAATTACGTACAGCCAAAACAATACTACATACCACAAAAAAACAACAACAAATATTTAGCAGGTGCTAAACCCAAATTATGTTTTTTTTTAATAATTAGAGAGAAGAGTGCATTTTTGCAAAGTAATGCATTTAAAGTCTTACATATACTCCTTTGTGGGCAGCTAAACCAACACTGAAGACATGGAAACAAAAAGCTTAACAGACTATACAAGTCCTTGACTTCACAGCAAATGGTGTCACAGAAAAAGGTAAAAAAAAAAAAGAATAAGAAAAAAATGGGGAGTTTTTGGTGATTCAACTAATTCTTTTTGAGGAAAGGTGGGTGCTGTTCCTGCTTTCTGGTAGTTAAAACACTATCTGTTAAAATATAATTACACTCCAGCCAGTAAAACCAAAACAAAAAGAAAATATTTAAGTGGTCTGTAAAACACTGGAATTATCCATTACGACCGTCAACTTTTCACTTTCACAGACACTTTTGTCAGCACTGTAGAAGTACTTATGCAGACAGAAGTACTTATTTATGTAGTACTTATGAAACCAGAAGCTAGTTCAAAGAGAAACTGGTTGAAACATTACAACAATCAAACATTGTCTGTGGAGGATAGAACTCAGGCTTTACTGGTGAAACTAATTTCAGTTTTAGATGCTTGTAAATAATTTAACAATGAAACTACGTATAAAAAAACAAAAGTTGTTTTTTTGTTAGTGCTTTCAGGTGTTTGAAAAAGTTGCCTTCAACTTTTAGGGGATGACAAGAAGGTCTTACTCTTAAAAAGGTCTTAACAGATTAAAAGTGGTTAAGTATTTATTTGTCAAATAGAACACTGGTAGAAATTTCTGTCTTATTGAAATAATAATAAAAACATATGTTCAGCGAATTCCCCTCCTTCAAAGCTTTGGTAAGTGCTATTTATTTCAGCACTGATGGATTTTAATATGTACAGCAGCCAAAAATGTATCAGTCCATGGTATATAAAGCTGTTCTCACACAGGCATTACAGCTGTTCTTAAATTGGCTTGAACTGCATGTTATTCTGTTTCCAATGATTAAAGGCTATTTAAATTCACACTGTGCCCTAGCAAGTAAAAGGTTCTTCAAATACATAAAAGAATGTTTCAGATACTTGCTTTCCATTATCTGTTGACCTTTGCTAAGATAACCCTGTGAAAAGAGGTTAGTGCAAAAGCTGCAGTGGTTCATAAATAATTATTTAAAAAAATGATTTGTACAAATGTGAGCAGATCTCCTGCTTTATGTTAGATTCTTCTATCCCAAAAAATAAATAGGAGCTCTTCCAATCGAACAGTTTCTAACACTACTGTGTTTTTTTCTCTAGCGCTTAAGATCAAATAAATATCACTGGAAGCAAAAATACATTTTAGGAAGTACTAAGCAAACCTGAAAGCTGAATTCTGTCACCCTATACTAACAGCGGTCTGAGAAACATTGGTCACAGAAAATAAACTGTCTTTGTAGCCCTGCTGGGAATCTATAGCTCAACCCAGCACCAAGAAGCCAAACTCTATTGTGTAATGAGCCAAATATGAAAATGCTATTTTATTCCTTAGGGAGAGTGTTCTGATTTAATTGAGTACAATTAAAAAGAAGATAATCACATCTTTAAAGAGTGTTTTTTAGAGAATTTGACAACATTTAAAAACACCACTACTCTCACAATTCATATTGCAACACTCAATTTAACATGCCAAGTTTCAGGCTTCAATAATTTAGAAGCTAAAGTAGAACACACAGAACCCCTTCTTAAAGATTCATTATTAACTGCAGTTTTTTGTTTTTTTCATAAAATGTTAAAAAGTCTTACAGTCTTTCTTACAGTGATTCAAAACTTGCAAAAATTGCAAAGTAAACCAAGGGTAGTCGAAAAAAACATGGAAAGACCTTGGTGAATGATGTACACTAAGTGGATAAGAAGAAAAGGCTTGCACACTGGTGTAGTGTATCATTTAATTAAGGAGATAACATCCCAAAACAATTGTCTATGAGATTTTCTCATAAATAAGGCTAGCGTGGCTGTAAGAGGAGACATCAGAGACTTTAAAAGAGAGGTGATTGTTGGGGCAGGAGCTTTAGTGACCAAGACAGCTTAACTTCCTCATGTTTCACAATCAATGGAGTTTATGGTGAACTGAAGTGCATACTCCAGGTCCAGAATCTGTGGATTAATACAAGTGCAAAGCAAAACTGGTAAGGAACTGCAGATCAATTGACTGTACAAATCAACCTGGATCTCAAGCACTCGGTTTCCTCAAAAACTGGTCTGTTGAAAAGTCTACAGAGTAGCATACAGATAGCAGTTTGGTTTCTGCACTGAAACCCTTCATCACACCTGGCAATGTACTTTTAAAGGTTCAGTGGGTTATGGAACAGGGGAGAAAAGTGATCTGGTCAGATGAATCATCCTTCACTATGTTCTTGACTAATGGAACTTCTAGAACTCTATAGCCCTCAGTGTTCAGTTCCAACAGGGAGGGGCTCTGGTGGTTTCACAATGACACAAATTTTCCTGGCATGGTGCACTCATTCTATTAGAAGGCAAAGTCAATGCCACTTATTCCTCCAGGAAGAGTTTCTTCCAAAATGGCAGTGCCCCCCTCCACAGAGCATGTATGGTTGCCCAGCGGTTTGATGAGCATGACACTAATGTCATCCTTATGTCATGGTCTTCTCAGCCATTGGATCTGAACCCAAATAAACATTTATGGGGTATTCTAGAACAATGCCATTTTCCATCTCCATCAGCTAGGCACGAACTCACTGACTATGTCATGGAAGAATGGTGCTGCACCCCTTTAGGAGCATTCTAGATGCTGGTAGACTTTACTCCACGACACAAACAGGTCACAGGTGGTGGCCCAAAGCCCTGTTAAGTGACTTTACATTGAGGTTTCCATTTTATGTCCACTGCCAATATATGCTGTCTTTGCGTGACACCACTTGTGACTTACCTGCAACCTGAACCAATCCAGTCGCATACCTCTAAAATCAAACACCTCTCCATCCTCAACTGAAATAAAGAGAAAGAAAATGCATCGGATACAGAATCATGTTAATAAGATTAGTTGTATTAAGAATGAGATGATTATTTTTACCTAAATGGTATAACAAATTAAACATGTAATCCCCCAGACAAGCTCTTTCTATTGCTTGCAGTTACAAACTTTGAAATATTCATTAATTTAAGGCAATGACAAAAAACACATCTTTCCACTTAAATGTATACTTAGCTTAAGATAGACAGATGGTCATACTGAGAAATCATACTTATAGTTTACAAAAGCAACTTTAAATACATCTCTGCTTTTAGGGAGCTGGTACCCTCAAGATAAAAGATGCCCAAAATGGACACATATGACATTTTTTGACATTCCATTATCCAGAAAGGAAGCCATAATCTAGTGGTAAAATAAACGTTAAATACTTCTCATCATTATACTGACATTCTCTTTTATAAAACAATTGCTATCTTTTCTTATCCTTTGCATTATATCCTGGAAAAAAGTCTTGATAGTCTGATAATAAAACAGAAATGCATAATACATAACCTATTTGCAAAACATGAAACACATAAGGTTATTTTTCATAATTCCTGAGCTTATTTTCTAAAAAGTTGATTGCAAACATTACAGTAAAATGGACTCTTTAAAACCTTAGACCTATTTAATAAAATAATGAATTACATCAGCTTTCAGTCTGTTTCCTTGATCTACAGAAATATACCTTGTTTCACGCTGAGCGAAGTCATAGTGTTCACAAAGGAAGACATTATTATTGATTCATCTTCAGGACAGACAGACAGGTTCTAAATTTAAAACAATTTATTAGAAAATTTATATTCAGTTGTAAAACATATAGCAAAAATATTTTTTTTAATTCTTAAACTATAGATATTTCAATGATCTTAACACTTAAAATCAGTACTGAAATACTTGACCGCCATCTAGTGGTAAAAATTATCTTCACCCAAAGCATTGCTGATTTTACTGAAAAGTTTTTAACTGAAACTTTCCAGCACAAAAATACATTTCAGTTTACTTCTCAACTTATAATTTTAACCAACAATATATACATTTATAATTAAATACATTTAAAGTAAGCAAACATAATTATAACAAATGCAAATTTCACCTGAACAAGTTCATTCAGTACAACAGCATCAAATCCAGACAGATACTGCACATAGTATCGCTGCATCACTGGTCCATATTTTCGCACATGTGCTCTTAGCTCTTCCATGTAAAATATTAATTCAGCAATATGCCTAAAAAAGCAAAGTAAATACAATATGATACTGTATAGCTGGATAAAGTCAAGAGTTTCATGAACAAGTAATATTTGTAGATGCATTTAGAAATTCATGGAACTGATTTAAAAAGACTGCATTTTCAAAATGTAGTAAAATGTAGCATTGAACAAGCAAGTCAACCTACAGTATAATTGATTATATTTCCACAATGATTTAGCAGGATGTTTTAAGATACAATTGTATTTTTCATAATGTGAAACTCATGTTTTAAAAAAGTCATTTTTGTAATTAGAACAATCTTTTAATTGTATCTAATTCTTAAAATTATATGTTCACAGCATTTAGTTGTAATTCATGTCAAAGTAACACTTTATGCAGCAACTAATCCATCTACTCATTGAAATTTGCAACCATATTTTAATTCGTAAACATTTCAAAACTTCAGCTTACTTATCTATGAAGTCATCTGTGCTTTTCTTCTGGATGTTATCTGCATGCCGAAGAAGCCAGATGATTTCATCCCGGGCAAAGGATAGAGCCATGAACACAAACAGTGCCTGAGAAACAAAAAACAGTTTATATGTAAATTTTCCAGCTACACTGGAAAACATACACTGACAATATTAACTATAATTTTAAACTTAAGTATAAAAGGAAACACAGAAGACTGTATTACTCTAACAATTTGTAAAATTGTGTTAAAAGTAAAAAGAAGGGACAAGCTAAATATCACATTACAATTGTGGGTACCTTAGGGCCCAATAACCCAGGCTGGTCAGCAAGAACTGTGGCAAGCTCTTTTAAGGCAGACCTTAAGAACTTGCGCCGCTCTCTGTGCATGGAGCCCCTTAAAAACAATTACATTTTAAACATAAATTAATTTGTAAGAAGGATGCATATCATATTAACATACTACATGTAATTTTAACTAATGTAATGTTAATTTAATGTTTATGATTCTGTACTTCCCTTCATAAAGTATATAATTAAGCATTTTTCTGCAGGATATTCCTTATTTTTCATACGTTGTGCAGGAAAAGCAAACACATTCATCTTAGATTTAGTCTAATTCTGAAAGGAAAATGCTACATAGGTTAGATTCAGTTAGGAACACACATGTTCGGGAATATGTCATATCTAGGCTTGATGAATCATTCCTCAACAAGTTACTTCTCAATTACGAATGTACTTCACACTATAACTTATACATTGAAACATACAGTATATTCAGGCATAAGCTTAAAAATATTAGAAACACTCCAAGAACATTTTCTGTCAATACGTTGATTCATTTTATGCATTTAACTTTTTAATCTTAGCATCTTCTGTTATAATGCTATGAAATCGCAAGTTTTCTACAACCGAGACAATTCAAACTAATTGATGTGTACTTACGCATGTGATAAGGCAGCCTCTTTGCATTCTCTGACGTCATTGATACGTTTGTTGTAGCTGCAAGAACAAAAAACAAAATTACATTAAATCTGCGAAAACAAGGGTAACAGAATTTGTTCATATAAATAAGAATGAAAATAATTATAGCAAACATTAAAACAAAAAAGGCCTTCACTGAAAAAACGTAAAAAAATTTTTAGAAGTAACCATTCATTACCCTGAAAGTTCACATTCTTAATTAAAATATATAGAAAATAAGTGCATACTAATTGTGTTTTAAAGGTTTTAAACTTACTACTTCACAATACTGTATGTTTGTGTAATTTGTAGTGTAAACAAAGAGTTGCGATGTCTATGTTTCAGACATTATTTTTTTAGAAGATATTAAATGTTTCACCCTCTAATGTTCACAAATAAGTCTTCCACAGCTTTGTGAATGTGGAAGACTTCATCTCTGAAGAGGCACAGGCAGGAACTGCTCTGAAGGGCAAGCTTCCACAGATTGAGTGCAGCTGGATCACTGCTCAGCACACCATGGCACAGAATAAATCCAACTACAGAAAGAGAAATCCATTCATGTTTTCCAAAAAAATAATAAAGGTTTGTTATCCTAATAGATACCTAAAACACATTTTTTGTTAGGCAGTCTTTCAAAGATTTTAAAAAATACCAAGAATGTAAATCTAGACTCAAATGTTATCATTGAAATGGGTCACTACAATGCAGAGTACAGCATACACTGTAGAAACTTTTTGTCATGTTTCCTTTATATTTTGAATAATATATTTAAGAAAAGTACATGGCTAAGCTTGGGTCAGGGTTTGGTAAAAAAAATAAGGACATTCCATAAAAAGAAAATTAAACTGCTTTTATTTCAGTATACTGTACCTTGTATTTACATTCACTATATACAGCATATGAGCTTGTTTTAAAACTCAGTTGATTAAAACTGCTAAATCCTGAAAGAAAACACAACTCCAATAGGTACGAGTACTACAAAAACATCTGCAAGGTACAACAGTTTTACAATATGAAATTCCCAATATTTGCTGTTTCTCAAGTTTTGGGGAAAAAGACATCCTAAAAATCTAACCAGATTATCCTTACTATATTTTGCACTCCATTAGTCCCCAGGTATACAAAGGGTCTTATAACTAAGAATAAACTAGATTAGCAGAAAATGGAGGATTCCTGTGGAAAAAAAGGACACTATTTTTGCACACGGTCCACTGGGATCTATATGAATTGGCACGTGTTAAAAGCAGAAGGGTCTACTATTTGCCTAAATTGACTCATGAGGAATCAACTCCATATCCCTTTTATTTTTTTTATTTGCTTATTCAACCATACTTATGCATAGCATATCAAAGTGTTTACTTACAGACAATCCATTTCTCCATGGCATCCAGAGAAAGATATTCACAGGGCATCTACAATATACAAAAACCAACTGATTAGCAATCTGGCAATCCATGTACAATTCAGACTCTTGATAAAATTTAACAAGAGAATAATCAACAGGTTTAATCAAGGGGAAACGTGGTAAAATTGTAAAAAAAAAAATGATTTCAAATAATACAGAACATGAAAGGGGCATGATTTTAACATTTTAATCTGCACTTGTCAGCAGCTACTGGCAATGTTTCCCCCACATTTTCACAATAAGCAGATTTACATCTAATTATGTTCTGATCTACACATAAGCAGAAAAAAAATAACTTACAGGAGCTCTATCTAAAAATCATACCAACCACTATTAGGACACTGAAAAACTGTACTCCTTACTGTGTCTGATTGAGCGGGATTAAGCATAGTGCTTGGGGCACTGATCAGACTTAGTAACTGGGCATTTCGCCACTGATCAGCAGATAGATTTCGTCGAGGATACACCATCTGAAGTGAAATCAGAGCATCGGAAAGGGACTGAAAGAAGAAAAAAGACCAGTTTCAACACTGTTAGTGATTTCTTTGAAACAGTTTTTTTTTTAATTTATAAGCTAACAAAGTTATCTTGCTAAATGAAGTTTCTTGTGTCCTCATTCAAAATCCCAACACTGGAAACAGAGATGACTTTTTTCACATTTCTTTGTTTGGACAAGTTAGTTCGGTACTACTATAGTAACAACTAGTTAATATTCACTGTGGAAAAGAAAGATTGGCAAACGACTTCTCCCAGCCCAACGAAGATGGGAATATAAAAAATAATCCCAGAACTGTTTACAAACACGAGGTGCTTATGAATGCCTCTCATTCTTGCAAACCCTTGGTAATTTTATTTTCAGTGTTAAAACTGATCGAGGAATATTTTCTGTGTGTTTTCCAATATCATTAAATCACTCATTAGTATACTTAGAAAGTATACTTAGTATGCTTAAACAAATAAGAAAGAGAAGGATTTTCACAAATGTTTTTACCTTGCTGTGGGGTACAAATTCTTCCATCATCTTTTTCAACGGATTTTCATAGTCTACAATCATTTGACCAAGTCTAGGATATTCTCGGTCACTAAAAATTACAAAAAGGTAAACATATACATCTGTACAATTAAAACTAAATAAACACATTTTTCAGAGCTTATTAAACAATGAAAAAACAACAGGAGACCTCTGATCTTTCTGACATGGACTTAAGGAGAAACTTGTGGAAGAATACCATTGCAATTTTAATAGATACTAAAACAATTTCATGAAAGTCTCATGTGCACACTTGTCTCATATATATATATATGTTGTGTATATATACACAACACACCATGCCTTTCTGGACTGCTGTGCTATGAAAGTATCTATGGCATTACTCATTTTGTATGTTAAATGGTTCTGAACGAGAAAGCAATTTTGCTTCAGAACATATCGTGATATTCAGCAAGCAGACCATGCCAGGCAATATATATACTGGGTAATAAAGAAACGTCCTAATACATATTTCACCTACTGTGAATATATGAAAATGCACTGGGATAATATAATTAGTGCCCAAAATAGCCTGCCTGCCATGGTCTGCTCACTAAATATTAGGGTATATTTTGAAATGCAGTCCTGTTCTCACTAAGACCCACGTAAACCATATGAGGCCTCATTCACAAAATGTAAATGTCAAGTTCCTTATTAATACCCATGAATGAAAATCAAGTTCTTTAAAAAGCTGCAAAATGAAAGCATCATAAAATACATTATTCATTAATACTATGTATTGCACATTAAAAGAAAAGGTGAACATCTTTGACAATGCAAAAATGTATCTTGAAGGCCATTAATGAAATTAAATTGCCTCAGAAAATCATGTTTTACAGCACCGCACTCCGGAATGTTAGAATCTGGTGAGTCTTCACAGGCTAAGGCAGACAGCACTGCAACTGCACTGGTGCTTAATATCTACCTAAGGAGAACTGTTTTCCTCTAAAAACCCTTGAAAAGTTTACCTGTCACTATTTTTTAGTAAACTAGTGCTTTGAAGCTCTGAAAGATTCTTTTATTCTACATTCAAAAAATGGAGCTTTTCTGCTTACATTCAATTTGTTCAAGCTTACATAACGTAAATTAGTATAATGTTCAAGCTGGAATTAACTATTTCAGGGTTGACAAGATGAAAATGTGAAATGAAACAGCATGCATGTTCTCACCTCGAACCATGTGTCATTTCGTGAGCATAGTTGTAGAGACCTATGATTGCTTTTCGCTCTTCAATCCGAGACAGCAGCATCATTAATGTAGTGTAGGTTACAATAAGGTCTAGGTAGTTCTTAGTAAGATCAAAGTTTACTGTCTACAAAACAAAAACAAGCAAGTCATAAAAAAACTTTAAAAATACAACATTTGTTACTTTAAATGATCAAATTTTAAAATATGGAACTTACAATGTCAAAGAAAACTTGGCAAGCATCAATAGTGTTCAGCAGTTCACACACATGGTCCTTAAAGAGGAAAGAGAATATGTTTTTTTTCCAGGCACAACATACAACGCAAGAAAAATACATTATGTATGATTACTATTATTGTTCCTTTACAGCCAGAGCCTTGTCAAAAATGTGAATGTGTGCTTTTTTCGGCAACTTGGACCATAAAATACTGAAGCTCTGTGCTCTTCGGCGCTAAATTCTAAGATTTCTACATCTTTCTTATGACATGAATTCACTAGAAGTATTGATCATTTTGTCCTTTTTGCCATTAATTACACAGATGCTTCTAATTCAATTTATGTATCAGAAATTTTAATTTTCGTTTTATTTGGTCAACACTTTGTATTTTAAAAACTCATGACAAATGTGGTCAGATAAAGTAATTAATTCAAGGCCTTTGTAGATTTAGCTAAATGTAAAGGACCAGAAATATGAGACTTAACTAGTGAAGAAAGATGTCCTTACCTTAAACTCCATGACATCGACAAATGTGAAATAATATAAAGCTAGGTTTTTTAGTATTTCAGATTTTTCTTTTTGAAGTTGTGCAAGCTGTTGCTGCAAGAAAAATATACAAACGCAGATTAGATATACCATCACATGAAGCCCAATATAAATCAAAACACCTGTCAAACCTGTCAACAAGGTTCATTTTAGGACTAGAAGCTTAACAGTGCTGTTCATTTGATAAATGGTGAGGCAAAGAGGTGTGCAGAGCATGTATTTTGTTAACTCCTAATTTATTTTATGTTTTAACACTTGAGAAAGGGACATAAAAACACTAAAAGACGTTTTACAATTCTTATCTTTGAGCACATTAAATGTTATCCCCTGGCCTGGCTTTACCAGTAGCCTGTTCCGTTTGGGTTAGACTGACAACATCAAAACCCAAGATCACCCCTTCTACCCTTAAGATCACCACTGCCAAAGAAGACCTCCATGCAGAGACGAGCAAAATGGTTTGGCCAGGTTTAAATGGTTTGATATCGAATGTTTGCAAGTGGATTTCTGATCTCCAAACCTCTTTGCTTTCAAGTCAATAGATCAAGACATTTATATAGTGTTGGAACACATTAAGCTAATGTCATTTAAATATAAACCATATAAGCCAGGTTAAAGTATTTGTATTATAATAAGCTTTTGGGAAACATTTTGCCTTATTATACAAGTTGTAAGAAGCTATAAATAAATAATTTTCAAAGGGTTTTAGCTTTTCTGTATTATAAATTTAGAAACGCTTAGCAATTTCACATTTCCATCATGTACACTCTTTTACAACAGAATCTTGCTCACAGTGAAGCACTAAACAGCTGTAATAATTTACACACAAAAATAAAAAATACAATATAAAATGAACCCTGCATTAAGTTTGCATTAGAATCAATATTTTGTTTAGTCCCTTTAGCAACTACAGGACAAAAGTGCACTGGAAGAAAATCAGTGATTTTCTTTTTTTTTAAGAGACTAAGTGCAACAGTATATAGTTTATTGAAGAGTTTTTAAAATGTTAGTAAATATCCTTAAGGAAACTAAGATGCAAACATTCATATGCATACAATAATTGAATGCAGATTAAGCAACTAGAGAGGCAACACCATTTCAAATGGCTCTAGGACAAGTTAACAATGTCATATGAAGTATGACCCTAAATCACTCGTATGATTTTGAGATTTAACAAAACTAATTTTGGAACTAAATATCCAAAGTAAGTTACGGTACCTATTCTTTAAAAATACAAAGAATTTTAAACGACGTATAACACTGACATTATAATTTTGATATTGTCAAATACAAAAAATAAGGTTTCTAAAAGTTGCACTGCACAAACATTTTACAGTATTTGGTGAAAATGTTTATAATCAAAAAAGGATTTAATTAAGTCCACATTGTCCATTTGGTTTATACTTCCACATTTTTTTCCCCACAGTGCAAGTCTGTACTTGAGCAAAGTTAGTAAATATTTCCAGTTAGGAATATCTATTAAATATGCCATCACACCAAAGGTACACAAAAAGCAATCAAAAACGACAGCCAGCCTTTTAACACTTTCAAATTTGATCTTGCAATCTATTTTTCAATGCTTAAGTTGTTCTCAGGTGTTTGATGACTTCCCAAAAAATCTAAAATTTAAATTTGCAGCATGTGTTTTTACCAGAACGCAGGCTTTCTTTAGACTCTTCATTTCAAATAAGATGACTTTAGAATGTGCCGAGAAAAAGGGAACGTTAATATTTCTTGTAATTTCAAAATACAATGGCTCTGAAATAACATTTCCCCAAGAACTTTAAATAAAATTAAATATTTTCAGTGGAAAAAAGTGGCAACAGTTTTATTTAATTTTTCAAAGAAAAATAGCAGGTGAGGAATTCATCATGGCAGATAAAAACTAGTAATATGCTACCGTGAATATAAACCCTTCATCAACAAACTAAAGAAGTTTTATATAAAATATATATCGACTCATCTCTTTGGAAAATTCAGGTTTGGATATCAAACACTTTTTTTATCCTAACAGTGGAGTTCCATTTTACAATTCCTTGCATATGCTATTTTTCACTGAAATTCATTTTCACTGTATTAGTGCTTGAAACAAAAGAAAGGATCAGTAGAATGAGTGAATGATCTGATGTTACCATGCAACTAAAGACTGAGGAATCCAAGAATATTGTGTAAAACACACAAAAACTTTATTCTGCCATTCTTCATTGAGATCAAAGGATAATTTAAGATTTAAATAAAAAAAGCATAAAGCCAATAACAGATGTCACAGTTTTATCATAATTTGGAAACTCTTCAGATTCCTTTATGCAGTCTTTTAAGGCAAGAGGTATGCAAGAAAATAAAAAGTTTTTTTTAAGAATAAAAATTGAAGCTAAAAGAAACTGACACAAAAAAGTCAAAACTTACCAAAAGAATAATCCAGAAAAAGCCAGTAAAGCATGCAAAATAAAATGTAGAACGAAAAACATAAAACACTACAATAAGATACACAGACAAAAGTTAAACATGATGCAGCAATCTTACATTCCAACAAGCAGTTAACATCATTAAACACAAACACAGCATGGTGTAAAAGTGCATGTTAAAAAGCATTTAAATAAAACAATCCAAAGACAAGGCAAGGCAAACTGAATTACTGGAGAAATCTGAAATACAACTTGACACAAATAGAAATAATTCACATTTGAATACATGAGAATGTATTGGGGAACAGAAAAACAAATAGAACAATGAATGTCTGGTGTAATGATGTTCTTAAAGAAAAAAAATAAAATAAGAACTGGACCTAATCTCTGGACCATTCTCAACAGATCTTGTAATATTCTTGTATTGTCTAGTTATAACAGCACACTACATCATTAAGAAATCCACATTTCATTTTATTTGGAAATGACGGCAAGTTATAAAAGAATGCCTTCTCTTTTCCCTTCTGTTGTCACAATGCTACTGGTTGAAAAGATACATACATATACTGAATTAAAAAAAGCATTTCCACATATCAGAAACAAAATTTATCCTGCAAGAATATTTCAAATTATTATTCAAATTATAGTATTAAAAAAACAGCCATTTACAGCAATGTGCACTGGGAATTCTTGCCAACACGGGGTGTGTCCAGAGACAACGCCCACATTCCTGGCCTAGTATGATTTAGTCTCCACAGTAAACACAATTACTTCATCTACTGTGGGACATAACCTACTTATCTTGCAATCTATACTTTTTTCATATCAACAGCACACTGGGAGAAGACTCTCAAACTCTGTGAATACACCTGATGTCTTTCAGCAAAGCAATGAATATATGCAGAACAAGTTATTTTAGTGTCTGTAAGTTACTGTAGACTTAGCTTCCTAGGAGAAATGTGAAAACAAAATGCTGTCAAAATGCTGCATTGCAACAACAAAGCAGAATAGTAGAACCAAAATAAAAGAATAGTTGTGTTCCCTAGAATGATAACTATTTCTGTAATTTAAGAAATGTTCCATTTTTTTCAACAGAAAGCATTTTACTTTCAGGAAGTAAAAATACACAGTACAAAACACAGTATATCCTGTATATTAATAACACTTATGTAAATACATACAATTTCGCCATTTTTGAATGTTTTAGAAATATATTGTGATTAATTTACTGGAAATGGTGCATACAGGTCATTACACAAGATAAAATCTTTAAAAAATAAGTAACCAAAGGGAGATGCTGGTTTAATTTAAGTACATATAGCATGTGTAATGTTCTTAATCCTTTCCTATGCTGGATCCTAAACAAAAGTGAACCACAATGAATAAAACTTCAAAGTAAATTCAGTACCTAAAATGTTCACCAGTTTTTCACAAGCTACTTTAACCACATATATAAAATGCTATTTGCAAAGCAGAAAATCTGATTCCCCTGTTTGCTTCTTACATACTGTTGATCTATTTCCTGTATTATCACTTGTACAATTAAATTGCTTATTTAATATTTTATAAGCAATGTGTAAATGTTTCTGTTAAGAATAATCGTCTGGTATCTAAATCAGTCACAATGGAAACAACACCAAATACAAACTTTTTGCTTCAAACCCGTACGTATAAAAAACAATTTTCCAGAAAAAGCATTCTGTACATAAAAACAACTCCTCTTATTTAAAATGGCTAACCATTTCTGCACAGGATATATGATTGATTTTTATAAATAGTATATATCTGAATACATGACTAGTTTCTCTGGTCTATATTACTGTGTGTGACAGGGACTAGAGCAAATTATTCAGATTCCAGAGGAATATAGCTGTACATCAACAAAACAACTTTGGTAACTTCCCACTGATTTGGGCACACACAGTAGGCTACGATTTTAAAATCAATAATCTTAATAACATCTTCTAAATTTCCGTGTGATTTTGAAACCTGTTCTATGAAAAACAAAGTGGTAACTAAAATATGTAACTAAAGTGTTAAGGTTCTTTTTCTGATGGAAGTACTTACATTGTTGTTGCGGGTTTCCACAGCTGGAAATTTTCTAACAATAAACTTGACAGCAGACTCAAGATTTTTGTCTATTAGATACGAAGGCTTTGCTTTGGGATCCCCACATGCCTAAAACGAAAAACAGGACAAAAACAGCTAAAATTGTCAGCGCTGTAACAACGTGGTAGATTAATACAAAGCAGAAGGTAAAAGAGTATTTGGTTTTCAGTGGATAGGTGACAAGATGAAAACGGCAAAGTGCAGGGATTTGTCACAGCTGGAATATGCAATGGGAGAAAGGATACAAGGATGCTGTGCTACGGAAAGATACTGTATGGGAAGTTTCAAAGCAGTTAGTGCAACACAGCGGTGGGTGGAAAGACTCACTCCTACTGGAAGAAAAGGTGCGCATTTAGTTTTCTTTAGGGTGCTATCACAAAGCTGTGAATAAATAAGCAAACGTGCAGCTGAGGTAGGGCGGTATATGGTTCACATGAAACTGCACATGCATTTTGTGTTATTTTGTGAAATATCCAAAATGTCACTCTGTATAAAGAAAAGCAAATAGAACCACTCTGTGTCCACATAAAATACCACTTCTACACCTACTGGACTGCATACTGAACACAGGTACATTGGGGGGAAAAAAAGTGCAGAAAAAAAGAAAAACAGTTTATTCAAACCACACTTCTGCTTTCACAGTTTTGACCTACTATGAGGTTTAATTCTTAAAACATATTAATAAGAGATAAGAGTCTCTCTTTAGCTGAAGACCTATCTTTTTAAAAACGTCCAAATTATGTCAGCATTAGAAAGCAGCGAAGACTACGTTGCCCAGAAAAAAAAAACATTTTGTCTACTTACAGCAAATACTGATTTCAGGTATTGCTAACATTTTTGCCCTGAAATAACTTCCAATCTGCAGAATAGTGCTGAACAATTTATAGCTGACAAACCAAGAATATTTTATTTACTGCAAAATTGGTGCTATTTATTTAAATTAACAAATCTGAACATGGTCAAAAAGCTCCTGTTATATTGAGAGAAAGGACCTGAGAAATCCCGTTTGGAAAAAAATATATTTTTTTGATTACCACTACAAAATCCCCTACCATACATCGCATTGTTGTTCATGTGATTCCAACCAAGTAACCAAGTGATCACTTACCACAAGCTTGCTTTTAGTTAATAAGGAAGTTGTGACAGTAACATTTTCCCCATACACCATACAGCAGTAATTGTCACGTTTTTCTCATGTCAATGAAGTAAAAGATCTCTTTTGTACTCATTACTTTTTAATTAAAAATATATTCTGTATAAAAATTATATAACTGAAGGTCAGTTGACATTGTGATAAAACCAATTTACCAAATTGTGCATCAAAAACTGCTAAACCTAGAGTTAGTTCTAGCAAAGCAGTTAATGTCTTATCTATATATAGTTTTCATGAGTCAGACAGAAAATCAAAAACAATGTGCCTGGTTTAATTGGAGTGGCCTTGCCATTAAATCTAGCTGGAAATTTGTGAGTTACATAAAGAGAAAAGTCATGGAATATGAGGCTGATCAGAAAGCAGAAGGAAGGGGAAAGGGGGATTGAGATTTAAGGGAAGGTGAAAAGCTTTGCAAACCTTCCAAACTTGTCCTTGCTGGGGAAGCATTGTAACAGAAAGAGAGAAAATTACACATAAACACAGGTTGCCAGTATCTAACATGCATATCTAATTCAAATGATTAGCTTTGGGAACGGACTCTTTTATAGGTTATTATTATGCTAGAGAAAACAAGGATTTATTCTTTAATAATGTTCAGTGCTTATAAAATTCAATTTAGGCATTTGATGTACTGCATGTTCCCACAGCTAACATACACACCATGCTAGATCTAGCAGTCTTGGAACAGTGTGTACTTCTAAATTCAATCCACATTTCACAGAGGATCAGGAAGTGTGTGATTAGTAAAAGGAACACCACATGCAAGTAAAACAAAAGAGATTGATACAGTAGTTTCAATCAAGGCCAATGCATATTACAAAAACCTAAAAAGGAAGAAAAAAAAAACAAAAATAAAGAAAAAATGTTTACGAAACATGTTTAGCTTAGATGAATCAGAAGCATCACATAGGACTAACACTTCATGCTCCCAACCAGTAGATAATTATTGAAGGTGCATAGCTCAGTGCCATCTATGTATAGATGCACTGTTTTGCAATTTGGTAACCACCCTTTTAATTGCAAATTATGGTGCTTTTTTTAATTGGATAAAATTCAGGATACATATGTGAGAATCCAAACCATTCCCCCAAACCCCTAAATTTCAGCTATGGCAGGATAATTGCCTTCTTAAAATGTGTTGTCGTTAGAGTGTTTAATAATCACAATTTTGAACAGTTGTAGAACAAGTATTTCATGATATTCCTTAGCAATGTAGCCTACATTTTCTATATTCAGCTACAGTATTGTGTAACTATTTTTTCAAGTTTTATAAAGTTATTTTAAAAGATGTTGTGCATTCGGTTATAATATCTAGCTCTATTAAACTTAAACTTCTCTTTAAACATACAGTAATTTGATTACAGTTAGATAATACAATCATTTGTCTTATTTAAATACAAAGGAAAAAACCTTAATGTTCAGGCTCACAGATGCCCACACCAATGATTTGTGTAGAAAATCCACTGTGTTAAAACAATGAAAAAAATTATTTTGGTAAATGGCACAATGAGACTACAAAGTGTTACTAGTTGAATGTTACGAAATTCAGTTCTGGATCAAAAGTTTAAAAAAAACACTCCCTTTGGTACATTCTTATGTTACTGAAAAATCATAAAACAGAGAAAGCTTTTCTAGAGGCTATAATTTGCATGCTACAGTGTGGTGCATTACTTACAATCCCCAATGGCAAGAAAACATTTAATAATGCAGATCAAGTGTGGTCCTGTATAAAATATCATCCTGAGATCACATAAAATGATAATTATTACTTCTCCATGAGATGATCAACTGATATTGAGATGACAGCACTTTCATGAAACATGAGGCCTTCTTCAAACAAGTGAAGATATTAAGGGCCTTATGAAGATATCTCCTTACTTTACGTATGAGTATAATTTTTTAAAAGATTAAAGCAATACAACATGTGATGACTGACTGAAAATGAAACAAACCAACATTGTCGGGCATTCTGCAAAAAGTCTATTATTTAACTAAAAGGCAAACAGTGTACAGCTCCTAAAATCAAGAATTGTGCCAAGTGGACTAATACTTTATAAACAAATCTGATATTTTAATTCATATACCCCAAATCTCTTCTTCTGTCTGACCTTTCTGCAATATAAATAAAGTCAATCATAGCATCAATGCTTTTTGTTGAAACTTGGGTACCAACGTAGAATCCAAGAGTGTGCTACTTCAGCAGCTTAGCTGAAGAGAAACCTACAAGTAACAGAGATGTTTTGTGTGGTCCCTTTTAATAGTCATCAAATCCATACACCACCTAGAACTTCCTCTTGAATAACTTCTAGATCTCAAGACTAGTGAAACATTTTAACTAAAACAACATATTTAAGAGTTAAACCTCTCTTCCTATTAGTCCTAAGTAGAAAAGTCCCAAAAAAGCATGACAGCATGGTAAAAATGTGTAGTTATGAGTTTAACAGGTTTGCATGCATGAATGGTACACTGATGATTCTATATTATAAAACGTACACTTATACGTTTGACCACTGATTTCCCTGCTAATCACATCACATATCCATGACTTACTTTGTCATCTAGAATGTCTAAATCTTTTTGATTTGCCTTTCTAACTTGTACAGTTTTTGTCAGTTTTCCTATTTTAGTATAATCTGCAGACTTTGCCCATTCAACAATTACCCTACACTAGGATGTAGTTTTCTTGATATAAATAAGGAAAAACAATGGTCTTAATATGGTCTCTGTAGTACTCTACCAATAATATTACCCTGATTTGAACATTCACATCTTGTCATCTTGCCTGCAGTCTTTGTACATTACCCAAACACACCTATGGCCTGAAATGCCCAGTGTTTTTTTGTGTTCAAAGAGCAAGACATACCTTTTCTAAATACATGCTGACTATCCCCCTAGGGTCTCTTTTTCACAGCACACATAAGATTATATATGTATTTTAATATTAAATACATTTCATAGTTAATTTTTTGTCTTTAGTCTTACTAACTCATTGATTTTGTCCTCAGGAAACACCTGAGTTTTTCTTTCTTAGTCTGCTTTTCTGATATATATAGCTTGTTCTTTGGAATCTACCTGTACAGGTACAATTTAAATTTCAAAGGATATACTGAACCACTGATTCCCTGACCTGTTTTCTTCCCGCTGGCTTATTTGAAAAGATTATATTGATATACGTATTCCCTGAATTATTGTTGTATCTCCACTGGACTTTGAGCAGGGTAAATCACAGGAAAGATTTCAGTGATTTAACCTGTTGCTCAAGGGTGCAACAGTGGAGAACCACCTGGAATTTGAATCACAAGTGCCCAGTTCTCAAGCTAGATCCCTAAGCATTCTTGCACAAGCTAAAAGGCTGTACATAACGTCCACTGAAATGGTTAGCGAGCTGCCCATGCAAGGAAACCCTCAACTCCGACAGTCTTGAAGGAGTTCTATGAAGAGGATGGGCCAAAATTCCTAAATGCCGATGCGAGAGGCTGATAAAAGTGTTACAGGAAATGTCTAGTGCCACTAGCTACTGAATCCAAGGACTCACACAAAGATATTTAGTCTAGGATCACTTTAGACATGAGACAGGCCTAGGGGGTTCACAAACCTTTCCTTGGCACCTGATTTGAGGATCTGGAGCCTATCCTGACAAGAAACGGGCACTGAAATGGAGGGCTGGCTATACCCTTGATGGGAAACCAGTCAATCACATAGCCAACAGACACGGACACGCAACACACTCACGCCTCCCAAAGAGCAATTAACCTACCAGCCTATCTTTGGACTGTGGGAGGAAAGCACCCAGAGGGAACTCACATGAATACAGGGGGAACATACAAACTCCACTCAGACAGCACCTCAGATTTGGAACTGAACCCAGCTCTGTGAGCAGCAATTCTAAAATATGCACTACCTTGCCACCCATGACGAAAATTATGTCAGAAAAAAAAAAATCTAACTGCACCTTTTCCAATAGTTAAAGCAAGCTTGAGGCAGAACTTTTTCAGTAAATTTTGGTTTTGTTCTGTCAAGTGTCTGACTGCCTGCCAGCTGCGGGGCACCAGAACAACTAAACAGAAATGATGTGCTGAGACTTCAAAAATATATCTAGAACAAAATATGAAAACAAATTGGATCTGAATCTGCAGTCATGACCTGTTGAAATCTTAAAGATGTCACGTCATGCAGAAAAAGGACAACATGAAAATATGGAAATGAAACAGATATGCAAATGACAGTTTGATGTGTAAAAGGAAGGAAATCTCTTGAAAAAACGTATCATTGTTTCAATTACTGAAATTACTCTTCAAACCCCTGTAGTGCTGAATACTAGTAGCCTAATGCTGGAAAAGTAACTTCTTACTACTGTAATCATTCTTAATGTCCTGAAAGAGAGAACTGCTGAAACAATGTGGAACAACACACAGTTGAACAAAACTTCATCCATAAAGTTCAAATATGAAGTTATGAAATTATCAAATTACACAATGTGCAAATCACTCTTTTCTTATGATTAAAATAAATAAAAAAAATCACACACTGTATAGGTCAGCACATGGCAGTGAAAGGCTTACTCACTGAGGTGTTCCATGGCTCTTAAGGCTTCTAGAGACTCTGCACTGACAGCCTGCTCAGCTCACCCTCTCTCAGCATGAATATAACCCACAGCATTTCCACACTTGGGTGGAAAGATCAACTGGATCTAGTCCTTTTGCAGACTGTTGTTAGATACTAGACCTCGATGGGGCAAAACTAATTTAAAAAAAGCAGGCACTCAGCATAATCTTTTTTTTTAATAAAAATGATATTTTTATATAATGTATAATTTATACAGAATACAGATTTTTTTAAAAAAATCAATTAATATTGTTACAGCTTTAGGTGACTGAGAAGTGTCTCGTAGATTTTAGATAATGTTTGTGACACTTGGAGTAAACACTTCTTCGTAACCCCCAATTTGTAACAATATGCTCAACCTATTTTTATTAACCCACCTGAACAGCAACAAACAATTCTAGCTTGTCAGAAACTTAGGTCACTTTCAGGCTCATAGTCATGTTTTATAAGAACTTAACGCATTTGTACATATAAAAAGTTTTATGAGCAAGGTATTAAACAAAAGTACTGTTTTTGGTGTTTGTCCTTACATATTTGAAAAAACGTATTTTTTTTTTAATTTTCCTAATTTTTAATCAAGACCTTATTCAATACGCATAAACCGGAAATTTAAAAAATTAGGAAAGCTCTCAAAGTCAATATCAAGAAATTCAAAACTGACAATCTGAAAAATAAGCATAACATGGATTGCCTAATGTGTTCTATTAGCTTGGATCCCTTTTGGCTGGAAAATGTGCTACAATTATGTAATTTCTGCATGAAGCTTGCATACAGTGTCTGTGATGCTTGTGGATTATCCAAATCTGCAGCTGTCTACTAGTTGACACAGTATGGTGCCCAAAATGGCAGAATATGTCAACCAATAACATTACTAAGGTAAATAAAACAAGGAAATGTGCTGTTTCTTTTGGCATGGCATAAGCTTCAGACATTCAGTTTTTTAACTTATCAATCAAACAGCAAGACCAAAGAAGATTTTTTTTAACCTTTATGCATATAGGTAGCCTATGTACGCAAAAGCCTTTAACTCACAAAACATCTCACTTTGCTTTATGTAGTCTTTTGACCATTTGCATTCCAGTAAGAGTAAGATGTGGAGTACTATACTAAATGTGACTATTAAAAAAAATCAACCTCATATCTAAAACAATGTTGCAAAAGATGACTGGTAAATATCTGGATCTATGCTTTATTTTGTTATACTGAACATTAAATATGTGCCTACTTTTTCGACAAACAATACATAATATTAAGAAAAATAACTTCTGACCAAACAATAGAAAAAAGACCACATTGATTATTCATATAGATTACAAGTGCCAAAAATAATGAAAACATTACAATGAAAACACACAAAATATCTCTGTACATGTAGGCTATCTTTAGATAAGTTGTTTCAATCACACCCTTTTAAAATACATTTTGGTCCACTTCACATGACCACAAACAAATGCACACAACAGAACCTGCTAGGATATGTACTCTTTTCTGTAAATTGCAGTTAACAGGGACACGTTTTCCCCCTAGAGGATCTGTAGAGGAACATTAGCTTTTACCTCATTCATGTATTTTATACTTTTATTCTGATGATTTAAACCAGACATGTCAAAACTAAAATTCCTGGCTTTGTTCTGCAAAGAAGTTAGAAATTAGGTTTTGACACTAAAACTGGACAAATTAGGGAAAAACACTTATGGGCCAAAAAAGAAATACAAAAACAAATAGGACACTACAATACAATACAGGTGTATTCCTGAAGTTTCTGCAAGTTTCCAGACATAAAAAAACCAACACCCTACATATGTGCTGATTCACTCACATTAAGCGGGATAGAAGTATTACCTGATGTATGTCTGTCTTCCTCTTCTATCAAATGTAAATTATCTTCCTTTAAGCCCTACGCCATTTATATGATTATAGTGCTTTTTGTTTTGTTTTTCAATTAAAAGTATTGAGTAATATTCATGTTAAATATAGAAACGGCCCACAAAGCTTAATAAATATTTCCTGTATTTCATGCATTTTTTCCAATGGTATTTAATCCAGAAATGCTATAAGGCGTTAAATCAATTCTTATTTTATAATTCAGCAGCTTTCCAAAATACACTGATACAAAATATTGAGGTGCATTGTTAAGAATCTATGGGTAAACTACAGCTTTAAAAAAATACACGGTTAAGTGTACATTTTATTAATTGATTCCTCTTGCACTAATATATAACTCGAGCGATTTAAAAAATCTGTCACCTACTGCCAACCATGAAATTAAACAAAAACAGGACGCAGTCTAACGCGTTCCTCCGCTGTCAGCTCTCCACCAATACGGCTTAGGGCACTAAAATCACCAATGAAGCGCAATGTCAATTTTTATACAAATAAACTGACAAGTTAAAATGTTACCGTCCATTTTTTTTTTTATGGAGCCCACATTAATGCTACATTGCCGTGATGAGCTTACCAATCAAAACTATCACACAACCACACAGCGAGAAACAATTATGTCGCGATGTCTCACGCTGCGGTCTCGGTGCAAACAAGTTGTTTCACTCTCGCTGCCCATCGCTCCAAAGCTTCACAACAACTGGAAACGCCAACCATTCTTCTACATGCTGACGTGCTACACAGCTCGCTATGTACTACAAAACAGCGAAGGGGCTTTTAAGCTCGCGTTTTAAACACCATACCGCGGAGAATGAAAACACTCTGCCAGCAGGTGAAAAAAAAAACAAAAACAAAGATCTGCCAGATTTAATTCACAGACTGGCCGCCAATAACAAGAATTGAAGTAATTTCCTCTTTTCAGTACACTGCTTGTGTTACATGCCATTCCAGGCCTTGGGTGCATTCTTCCTGTCCATATCCCCATTCCCAGGCTCTGCAGAGTCATGTTGCAATGCCAGCTATGGCTTCCAAACGTCTAGGAAACAATGATGCTCACAGAACACTTTACCGTAAGGACTGCGACCCCCCCGAAAACAAGCACCCTGTGCATTATAACGCCACCTTACCTTTTTGATGTTATAAATGCGGGTGAGCATCCCGATTCCCCTGTCGTTGAGGATGGTCAGTTTCTCCGCCAGCTTCTGCTGGCTTGGCTGCAGCACACCCCTCGACATGCTGCTTGCTTAGTGTTTCACAAAACGGAGCACGCCGTAAAACCTTCGCTGTGTAGTGTGTGACTCGGACCTATTATGACCCCGACCGTCTTAGTGTTATTTTCTTCCCATATTACGGATAAACAGCTTCGCAAAACTCCCCCCGCTCTGCCCTCCGCTGTCTCCCTGTTTTCTCTAGGTGTTGCCCTGACTCTCAGAACGAGGCCGTTTCCTGCAACACCGACGCACGTCACGTGACTCCCATTGCACTGATTTCCGCCTCTGTGGTCCAAATTGACAGCCTGTTACTAGCACAGTGTTTTCATACCGCAGATAATGATTCGAATTTTAAAATGGCCCACTACTTCTTAATTTCAGTAGGGATTATTTATACGCTGACTGTGGTGCTTGTGCCCGTTACATTGGCTTCTTCTCTGTGAGATGTTCCGTTTTCCACCAACACAATACGCGTTTATCCTGAGCAAAGCAGCTACTGAAACTCCGAGGCACTTTATTTTCCTAAATGGCAGTAGAAGACTGCTTTACAGACTTACCATTATCATATTTTTTATTGAATTATTTATCATGGGTCAAGTTATGCATACACCTTTTTAAGCATTTTCTAACCACTTTATCCAATACAGGGTTTATACAGAGTTATAGGTGAGCTGGAATCTATACCAGCAGGCAATGGGTATAAGGCAGAACACATCTAAGATACTGTAGGATGCTAGTCCATTGCAGGGAACGCACAGACTCACACCAGGAAACCATGCAAACACATAAACAGAACATACAAACTCCACACAGATAGCAACCCAGGTCCAGAATTGAACCCAGGGGCCAGGGATTTAAATATTGTATATAAATAAACTTAATTGTGAATATATCAATATAATAAATACTAAAAACTGCAAACAAGAATCTAAAATTGAAGTTACTTTAAGTACATACCCCACACAAACACCGCTATGGAAAACCTAATTTATTAAGGTGCACAAAGTAATTAATTTAATGCAAATACTCAAGCATCATAAACACGTAGTTTTCCAAAAAAACACAGGGATTATTTGACCCTATTTAAATAATAACTGCATTTTTCATGATGCTGGTCTCTCATCTGGTGGGCACCCTTTTCAGACATTACAAGGGATAACACTTTATGTACTCGCCATGATCTCCAATCATGTGATAATGTACATTATCAAATTCATATCAAAATACATGTACATTACTGTACATTACTTCCTGCTTTATTTTCTCATATCTATATCATTAGAAGAGTGTGAATACTTTTACAATGCCTCATATGTCTCACAAAAACAATATGCAGTTGTGTATAACAACAGTAGTATATCACAAAAACAGCGAAATATATCTAGTTTAAACATAAAATATGGTATATGTCATCCAATATTCCTGAGTATATTTGAAGTTTATAATATTTAAGTTTATAACAATAGCATAGAATAAATATAATAGATTTATAAAATCTATGTGGGATATCCTTTATTTCAAGTTTTTTATCTGTGTTATCTGCACTAAAAATAAAAAATATTGATATATTAATACAAAAGACACTGTTTTCATCGGGTCCTTGATTTTGATACTTTTTTCATTTTATATTCACCACTAAATTAATCAGTTTTACCCATTCTGTCTAGGTATATTTACATTACACTTGAATTATTTGTGTGCTAATATAATGTTTAATATTTTAAAATATGACGAAAGATAACATGATTCTAATAGAGGGGTCGTTTAATGTGTTTTGTGTTTTCTAAAAAAATAACACGTTTTTCTTCTAAGAGGAAGCTCGGAATTATCCAGCCATCCATTTTCAGTAAACGTGACGCCTAGGAAGTCAGTTCTTGGGAATGAACACTAGCCTGTTTCTTCTGTGAATGAAGTACAGTACGCAGCAATTGGTGATAACCGGGGTGTACGCTGCCATAGACTTCCGCACCTACAGGTGGCGATGTTTTAAAGTACTACATGCTCCCAAAAAGATATCTAGGTTACAGATGGTTTCTTCTCGGTTTTCAGGCAGTTGATAGCAAGTGATGAGATCTTCGGTGAAGTACAAGAGCGTATTGGAATCCCATTGCGGCAAGTGGACAGCTGAGTTACTGTAGACTTTTTCTGCTTTGAACTGTTCCTGTAACACACATGTAATGCATTCGCTTGCTCAAGAAATAAAGGCTTTTTCAAAGTCGGCACTGAAAAAGCAATGTACCAGGGTAACGACTTTAACTGGGAAAAGAATAATAGAAACGTGGAAAGACTCCACTGTGCAGGTGGTTGAAGAAACCGTACAACCCGAAGGTGCTTGTGGATATGTTCAGGATCTCAGTTTGGATCTCCAAGTCGGTATCGTCAAACCTTGGTTACTGCTTGGTGAGACAAATAGTTTTGCATTGTCAAATGTCATTCAGACAGATTTAAGAAAAAAAAATGCACTTAGCAGTAAAGCTGTCAGAATTCATTTTTGAAGCACGTGTTAAGTTTTCAATTCCATTTAGCTTAAGCGTTCTGAAGTTTTACTATGGATGGGGGAAATGCCTTATTATTTTAAGAAAGAGCAGCTGTTGACTTCAGGGATAGCAAACAAGGCACTGCAAGTAAGAAACGCTTCTGGAAGCACAAATCAGTTACTGTATATTAAGATACATTGATGTTTAATTTCAGTGTTGTGTTTTTGGTTATGAACTTTGGTATATGCTTAAAGTATTAATTTTAAATGAGTCCTTTATCAATGAATAGTTAAAAAATGTTTTTTATGGTACTTTCTACACTTGTTTTTAATACAGTCCCCTTTATCAGAGAAGCTTGTGAATTGCATTTGAGATGCAACATTTAAAACATGCTCTGTAAAATGCTTGTCTTTTGAGGCGGGGCTCTGATTTTAGATTATTTAAAGAAAACTGTAGTTCTGTTCAAGCACTTAATATGGATGGATGAGTTACGCTAAGTAGCATACATGTCCACTCTCTCAGGTTTCTGTAATAAGCCAACCATCTTCCCTTCTAGTGTTAAAACACTAGAATAATAACTGCAGTATTAGTGTGAAAATGACAACTATTATTAATTAAAACATTGATGTCAGTGTTCTTTTTTGTTCTAGCCTCACAAGATGTTGCCCAGGACTTTGATATATTAAAGAAATTTAAGGTATTATTTATTTTCAGTGTCTGCTGTATGATATTTAAATTTCTTTACACATTGGCCTTCGATGAGTGTATTTTCAGTAACATTTACTGTTGATCTTTTTCAGGTTACACACATATTGAATGTTGCATATGGTGTTGAAAACACTTTTCAAGATCAGTTTGTTTATAAGCAGCTTTCCATACTGGATCTTCCAGAGACTGTCATTACCTCATATTTCCAGGAATGTTCAGAGTTTATAGAGCAGGTCAAGGCACAGGTAGGCCTTATACTTTTGTTGCATTAAAATAGTATGTTACTTTACGAAACAAAAGGGTGTCCCCTTTGATAGATCTCTAGATTGTTATTTCTTTTCACAAACTTAAGTTATATTTCATTTATTTTAATTTAAGAAAGTATGTAACAATTTGTTCATCTAATCATACTGCCTAAGATTAGTTAAAAAGCAAGTAAGGAGTATATCATGTATTTAAAATATTCTAAGAGACCTGTCAACGTGTTTCCATACATCCATCCATTTTCTAATTGCCTCAGGGTTGCAGGAGAGCCAGATCCTATCCCAGCAAGCAACAGGTACAAGGCAGACTGACACAGACACGCACACACTCACACCTACTGTAAGGCCCATTGTCCCAGACATCAATTGACCTATCAGTTTGTTTTTGGACTGTGGGAGGAAACCGGAGCCCCCAGAGAAAATGCATGTGAATGCGGGAAGAACACCCCACGCAGATACAGCAGGATGCCAGGTCCGGAATTGAACCAGGGTCCCGGGCAGTGAAGTAGCTGTGTTAACCACTGTGCCACCATGCCACTTGTTAATGTATTTAATGAAGAAATCTGATAATCTCGTTAACTAAATCTTTGCAGTAATTTCCTGAGTGGTCAGTTTTAGGAGACTGCCTATTTGATACCCCGCAGTCTGCTGGTGCAGAGCATTCCTTGCACCTGATATCAACATGGCAGTGCTAGTTTTCATGATCCATTATTCAGTAGGTAGATAACGATCATATCTCTACAGGCCATTGTATCTCATGCAGCCTTGTTGCCAAACCAGTGTCATGGTAATCAGCAGCCTTACTCTATTGCATTAAAGGAACTCACGGAGGTACAGTATATAATTACATCATGTATTAAAAATAAGTTTCCACTTTACACTTAAAATTGATCTGTCACCATTTTCGTTTGCAATCCAATTAATTCTGACATCATGTTTTATTGATTATAATTACATGGAATACTAGTAATAATGAATAATAATGTCTTACACTTATATAGCGCTTTTCTGGACACTCCACTCAAAGCGCTTTACAGGTAATGGGGGCTCCCCTCCACTAGTGTGTCATCTTATTGTTCTCTTGCAAATGTAGAGGTTTTCTAAAGGCTAATTTTTTTCAAGTCCTTTTAGGTATAATAAAATATAATCTATTTCAATGAAATTGTGTTTTCAGCTAACATATGTGTTGAAAACACCTTTTCTTAATATACTGTATAGTAAGTGCCAAGTCTATGAGGAAACAAATGCAACTTCATTAAAGAGGTTAAAGAAAATTAAGAGAAGATAACCAGTGATGATTTCCTTTACATTTACCAACTCTAACAAACAAAGACAGGGAGAGAAACTTCATTTTTATTTAATAATATGGCTATGTATCATTTTTTGCTGTAATTAGGGAATACAATATGCTTGCTGGCATAGGCATAGGTTTTCCTGTGATCCTGAATTGGAAAAAGGGGTTAAAAATGGATGGATGCATGTTTTTGACCAACACATCTACTAAACGTAGATGCAGTATGAAGGTATTTTCACGATTTGTATATGGTTCTGGATCTTACTTCATGCCTCTCATGAAGGTTCTACCTTTTAATCTTGACACTGGTTGTGTATTGTTTCTAATTCTTCTTAAATGCTTTTTTCACAAAAGTTAAAAAAGCAAGACAGTGTTAAGTACTATGTGAAGATTTTGTTTTCCCTTCTCTCTTTAGAACGGAGTGGTGCTTGTTCACTGCAATGCTGGGGTGTCCCGCTCTGCATCCATAGTCATTGGATACCTGATGTCAACAGAAGGTCTGCGTTTTGATGATGCATTTGCATTGGTGAAGAATGCGAGACCAGCTATATGTCCAAATCTAGGCTTTATGGAACAGTTAAGAAACTATAAACTCTGCAGTGAAATTCAGTTTAATGGCGTTACAAATACTTAAAATGTTCCCCATTTACTAAAACCCACAATATCTGTAGCAATGGGCATACCACATTACCGTATGAGAATAAACTTGAGACCAAACTTTTTCAAAGTGCTTGAGGATTCTTCTGTAATTTACAGTCTCTTCAGGCTTTTAGAGTGCTACAAAACAACTTAATACGTTTTTAAGACATGATAAATGTTAGTGAATTATAAACAGAATACAGTTAACAAGTCCAGGTTTCTGTATTTGTGTTTTTTTTTTTATCAAGGGATCTGTTTTGTGCAAGACTGATATTTCTTAGAGCTGTAGTGTTTCAGATTAAATGGAGTAAGCTGGTTTAAAGGTTTACACCAAAGTTAGTATACCTTTTTTCATTTTGGTTTGCCACTGACGGTTTGATACATTTTTAAACAGTTACAGATACCAAATTTATAAATTTACATTTTTCCATAGAAATTGTAATTATTTAATGACAACAACATGTTTTTAATTTTATATGGCATTTTGAAAAGTTTTATCTATTTCTGTATATACAGTAGTATCTATATTAATCAATTTAAAAAAGTTTAATTTATGTGTCATTTTCTTCACAAAAAATGGATGTACCATCTTTTTCTTTTGAATGTTGCTGAATCTCTGAACTTTTATCCCTTATTTATATAATGCATATTAAGTCTGAGTCATTCATTTCTTTTAAGTTTTGTTAAAGCATGGATTTGTGGTTGATGACATTGTTTGAAAAAGTATTAAATAAAATATATTAATATATGAGCAATTGGGATTATTCCAATCCTGAAAACATGAGTACAGAATTTTTATGCTGTAGCTCTTTAAAATATTTTATTTGGAGCAATTGATTTTCTTTTTTTTTTAACCATAGTCATAACTGTGTATCTTGTAGGTTTTAAATGCTCTCAGTAAGAAATGCAATCTGCCAGTCTTAACAAATGACAGGAATTCTTTGGTCCTACTTGCTGATTTGGTTGCTGTTATCTAATCTGTTCTCAGAATACCATTCAGCTGTTTCTTAAATGTTTTTAGAGGATCCGTTTCAACACGATTAGGTACTTTGTTCCAGACATTGACTGGACTTTGTTTAAGTAAGTGTTGTCTGCTAATTTTAAATGTATCCTCTTAATTTCCTCTTGTGCCTCTGGGTTCTTGTGTTATTTTTATACTTGTTGAATTGCTTTGGCTTGACTTTATCAGTGCCTTTGAGGATTTTGAATACTTCAATCAACAGCCCCTCCACAAGTCCCTTCTGTTTAATATTAAAGCTCTTCAGTTCTATTAACTTATTCTTGCATGACATTGTTTCGAACTGGGGGTTCTTTGAAATTCTTTTTTTTTTGTATTGCCTTTGTCACTGAAATGCCCTGACTTAGTTGTGCATCTAACAAAATCATCTTTTTAAACATATTTTTCCATTTATAGTTCAATTTTACTTTTACATTTAACTAAGCATAAGCAACATACAGCAGCCATATCACCCTGCAACTCACAACTGGCATCCCACTGAAGTTAAGCAGGTGTGAGCATGGTCAGTACCTGGATGGGAGACCTCCTGGGAAAAACTAAGGTTGCTGCTGGAAGAGGTGTTAGTGGGGCCAGCAGGGGGTGCTCACCCTGCGGTCCATGTGGGTCCTAATGCCCCAGTATAGTGATGGGGACACTATACTGTTAACAGGCGCTGTCCTTCAGATGAGACGTAAAACCGAGGTCCTGACTTTGTGGCCATTAAAAATGGCCTCCTAATAATCCCCGTCTATGAATTGGCTTCATTACTCTGCTCTCCTCCCCACTAATAGCTGACGTGTGGTGAGCATTCTGGTTGCCATCGCATCATCCAGCTGGAAGGGAATCCCCATTACCTCTAAAGTGCTTTGAGTGGAGTGTAAAAAAAAAGCGCTATATAAGTGTATATTATTATTAATATACATTAATATAATATATATAATAGTATATATTATTAATAAAAATAAAAATAATAATTATTTTTATTTTATTATTATCAGAATTCTTTGCCTACTATTGGAATGCAAGATCAAGACAAAAAAATAATAGTTTAAAGAACATATGGAGGATATCTAATGAGGAATTATATCCCATCTAGCTTTCTTGATTACTAGTAGCTCATTGATCCAAGAATCAAGCTAAATGAATGCATTGCTTGTTCAAACACCTACAACTCTTATGCAAAAAAGTAACTATAGTTTACCATTACAAATGCACTGCCCCTTAGTTTCCTTTTGATTCTTCTGGTCTGTGTTTTGTTGATTCTGATGAAGTGTAATGGGTAGATTTAGTCAATTTCCTTCAGGATTTTGAATACTATACTTGAATCAGGACCTCATGTAATTCATCAAAACATTTCTCTCCCTCCAGCCACCTAGAATACGTTACCCGTGAAAATGAATCTGGCCACTGATCTCTTGAGTGTTTGATCCTTCATATAAAGTGGAAACTAAAACTGCACACGATATAGCAAATGCTGTCTCACAATTGCATTTCACAATTTTAATAAAACATCATTTGATCCAGATTCCACACAAAACACTGTACCTTGCCTGATTTTGTTGAATTGCATAATCAGAATTTAATATTTTTTATCAAAATGTGAATGCTCAAACTGAACACTTTTTTGGGTTAAATATCAACAGAAACTGCAACACAACTTAAAAACTAGAAAATGTTGAATGCATAATTGCTGCTTTTACAGCTACAGATCTTTTTGAATACATCTTTACTGTCATTCCACCCTGGGATGTCGCAATTTTCATCCATTCCCTTTCGTGTACATGGTCAGGCTCTTACAGGTGGGTTGGTGATCACTGATGGACCCAGCTGGAGCAATCTGATCATTTTTATGACCTTGTGATTAGATCATAAGTGATATCAAAATAAAGTGTGAGACCACTGAACAGTGAAATGATAGAAAACTGGGTGGGCATTAAATATATATGAACAATTAAAGGGTTAATTCCAAGCTGAAAAAAGAAGAAGAAAGAAAACAACGTTTCGGCCGTGGAGCCTTCTTCAGGATTGAGAAGGCCCCACAGCCGAAACGTTGTGTTTTCTTTCATCTTTTTTTTCAGCATGGAATAAACCTATTACTTGTTCCTTTGCAGCCTACGCATGCTGACACAGCTACCCACCTAAACTATTAAATATGAGTATTTTTTTGTGTGGTAAAAAAAAATTAAAATTAGATTTCTTCATTTAACCAATTAAATGTTTGTTTGTTTTTTGGTCTGACTGAGCCTGGTCAGTCCTACTGACAAATCCAGGTGAACACTACAGGTCATCTTACTAAATTGCCAAAATGTCCAGGCCATTTGGTGATTACAAATTAGGTTATGAAACTGCAGAATCGGATTCAATTTTCGTACCCCACTTCCTACCCCACCTATATTACAGTAGTAAAATATATCTGCATAAAATAGACTGTTTGCTACCGTATGAAATCTACCATCTACTATCTATTCGACAGATTATGATGCTGCATTAAGATTAAATAATGTAAATCGTTTTTTTTAGGTGAGCAATTTTGCCTATAAGCATTAAGTCCCAGGGGTGTTTCATTTTGATTAACTCCAGCTCTATACTACAGTATAAAATAATGAATAATGAACATGATAAGGCATTGAAATCTTCAAATTCATATTGATATTACATTAGGTAATAATATTGTAATACAACATTATTCACCATTTGTGTAAAGTAGCTTACTAAAGTCTGGAATTTCAGAAACTGGTGTCATGGTTCATGATGTTAAACCAAGTACAGTACATACAGTAACAGTATGTAGTTCCACAAAATTTAGATTATTTTTGTGCTCGAGTTGCTAGGGAAAATATGGTGTAAAAAAACAGATTTGTGAAGCTGAATTTTGAAGGCAGTCCTGTAAATGTGGATTAACATCTATATAATTTATCCGTAATTAAATCTATGGTAAATGTTTATATGTGTGTAGAGAATGGGATCAATCAAACAATCAAAATATTAAACAACCACAATGCTATGTCAGTTACCAGCTCCAGTGATTGTAAGGACAAAGATAACTAAATTAATAATATAAATGACAGGACGTCAGCACATCACATTGGGCACACACTCAAACCAGGACCAGTTTTCCCAGAAGCCAATTAACATACCGTTATGTCTTTGAACTGTGACAGGAGCACCCAGAGGAAACCTATGCAAACACGGGAAGAAACATTAAGGTAGCACCGCAGGAATTGAACCCAGGACCCCAGCGGTGTGAGGCAGCAATGTTTACCACCTTCTATTTGTTTATTGAAAATAACAATTACACTTAATGGTATCAGTTTTCATTAAACGTCCTCAGCATTTATTGATCGTTTTTGGTTCAGATTTGATTCGGTTTCATATGTGATTATTTTGTCTTTTTTATATAACTAATTCCGAAGGAATTGCGTGCAGAGGCTTTCCAACTCATTCTCAGAATTATTAAGACCGTCGTTGTTATTGATGTGTTGCTGATCGCTATCACCGGGGTAACGTGGGACAAGCTTGCATCATTGCATTTTTTGGTTCACATGAGTTTACGAATGTTTTTTGTGTTCGTGCACTGGGAATTCTAAGTGAACTCATGTGTCTTTCCACGTGGGACTTACAGGATAACCTAAGCAGAAGAAATTGTTTTTATTCCGGAATTGTGTTTCAAACAACAGCTGTGCTTCTTGCACTCAATATTCATTTACTGTACCTCGGATTGCTGAACTTAAGCTCATGCGAAGCATAAAGGGAAATAATGTTAGACGTATGGAGTGACCGTCACATAAAAAAAATACTGAGGTCTCAGTAGGGTGTCACCTAGCAGAGAGAAGATTCAGTCACGTTGCAGAATGCTATTTATTGGTTAAATAAAAACTACATCAGTGTGTTGAGTATTAATGCACAGCACCATTGAACTCCAATATGTAAGAACGGTGGCATTTCACGGATTTAAGTGTTCTGAATTGATTTCATTGCATTAGCTCGTTGTTTTTATTTTACATTAACAAAAGGAGGCAGACGAATGAATCACTAAAGCGGAGCGCTAGCTTGCTGTTTTTCTTTCTCGCTGCAACAGCTGCGGTTTACATGTTGACAGGGGTTTTTGTTATTTCTGCTATCCACATGGGCACCGTCTCGTCCACGCTCGCCAGAAGGAAAACTGCTACAGTTTTTGTCAAAGATTCCAAAAGAAGTCCTTCATGCAGAACAAGCTCAAGAACCGTCAACGATGGCCAACACGCTGTCATTAAAAATTCAGGCCAACGGGTAAGCCAGGAAGTCCAAAGGACCGCTGTCATCGGAGAGGAAGGCAAGTAAAAAAAGTTATACTGAAGTCGAACAGTCCCTCCAGTGTTTTGCAGAACACAGCCGTTTATTTTTAACCTAAATTTACCATAATATAGAATGCTCAATTTTAAATAGATATTTTTTTCAACATTGCATTTGAATGTTAGACTTTGTTATAACTGGGCCTAATGATGATATATACGTTATAAAAGCTTGATTTTTTATGCCTACTAATTTATTGAAATGCCCTATGAAAAGCTATATAAAATGATCTGTCTAACATGTGCTTGAAAAAGATAGTCACATGCATTTTTATTTTACTACAGTATTTTATGAGGTCTAAAATGGGCAAACAAAACAATGTGTGTAATCTCTATTAAGGACATTGACGTTCTCCACTTAGTTAAATTAAACAATAATATGATTCATAAACAAAACAATGTATGCAATCTATGTGTATGGACACTATTTTTATTTATTAGTGCTCAATGAAATTATCAAAACACCAGCACAAAAAATAATTGAAAGCAGAAAATTGAGCCTTTGCATACAAAGTAGCCACTTAGTTTCAGACCTATATGCTTGTCTATGCAGAGGAGGTATTGTGTGGGTTTTAAAAGGAATTGGGATGTGAGACTTATTGTACAAAGAATCCCAGGGGATCTATTTTCTGCATTTTATAAAAAAGTACTGTTGTTTTTCTACGGACTTCTCAAATTTCAGCTACAGAATTATCAAGATGTACAGTATAAAACTGACATTGCATTGTAACACTGCTACACACTTCCTTCTACTGTTGGCAGTCTGTGAAGTAGCCGATGAGTGGCTCTGGTAGTTTTTAGAAAAAACTGAGGAGTGAGTGTATAGCAGTGATTTCATGGGTGCAGATATGAGTTACATTTTAATTTCACAGTGCCTCTTTCTTTCTACACACGTGTTGTGTAAGGTCCCCCTTTTATTAATTGTATTAATATTTATTTCTCTGTTAAAAAAACTTGTTTTGGGCTACATTTAAAGACAGGTTTCTCTTCAGATTCAAGTGTTTAGTTGTTATCTCATCTTTTTAAAACCGATGAAGAGAACACAACACCTACAGTCCTGGCACAACACTTCTCTCATAAGACTTCATTATCTTTCAAAGAGTACAAACATACACAGTTAAAAACTTTAATTGGACTGTTTTTGAAGTTCTTAAGAAGGAGAAACATATTGTCCCAGAACTTCAGAGGCCGACATATTTCTACAAAAATGTTTTTGCCATTCATTTTAATTTGCTTTTGTCTGATGCAAGCCTCGTTATTAGTCCCCTTTTATCCTTTTGACCTTTATTTCTTGTGAAACAAAACAGAAGGACTTGTGAAATCAAGAACAGAGGGAATCCCTCAAAACACTGTAATGAGCTCCCTAGCTGTCGTTCCTTGGGGAAGACGGGCCTGGGGAAGGTCCTTACAATGTAAAGTTTAGAATCTGAAGACAATGTTTGTTAACATGGATGTTTTCCCAAAGGTATTGTACTGAACAAAAAAACACAAGTAAAGTTATTACTCTACCAACCATATATATCATCTTATGTATTACCTGCATTTTTTGCAGTATGATACGTTCTGTCCTTAATATGATTTCTTTCTGCATGACAGGTTTAAAATGAAACTTGAAAAATTAACTTAAAGCAAAGAGACCTTGCTTTCTATACAGACCCATGGTCTATTCTATGCTTAAGGAACATTGATTACACGTCTACTTAAAGTAGAATTTCCACCTTATCAGAAGTGTATCGTGTATGCTATGAACAACATTTCTTCTGGTGGGTGAATGATTAGAAAAAAACAAGCAACATTTTGATTCTTTGCAATAGGTTCCCAAATTCTCCCACCTTATATTGTTTATTTCCTGAATCCAATGGACAAATTCCAGTTTTTGAAAACACCTTAACTATCTCAGTTGTAGGCAGTATTAAAAGGATTACCCATGGTACTTGGGTTTTACATGGCTTTTACTGTGTACATGCCACTAATGGGAAATTTCCTCATTAGCAGATGCATAACGTCTGTTAACACAGTGGTAGGTTCCCAGTACAAGTCCGTTCTTAACAATATGTGTGCATACAATACAATACATGCTTCTAGCTAGTTTACTAGTTGTGACTACATGAAAACATTATTTACAAAACATGCTTAATTTATAGGATAACCAGTCCAGCTGTTTGAAATAATTGTTATTCTTATTCCCATCATCATTGGCTTCATCACCAGTTACAACTGACAGTTAGTCTTGGGGTCAGCATGTTCAAATCCCTTTGTCATGACAACCTTATGCCATTTTATTGAAATTGTAGTACTGTGCTATGCAATATGCATGCTTTGCAGAGAAAGCATTATAATGACCCAGTCTCGATATTTTATTTCAAGCATCCCGGGATGCAGTGCATAGAGGAAAGAGAACAAAAACCATGGAATTCATTAGGTCTCCTCTCTAGGCAATCGATTGTGCACAACAGATTGAGCTCTAATTTGCTTTTTAATGTTTTCTGTTGCCAAAGCCTTTCGGATGGCTGCGAGGAAAGCAATTAAAGATTTGTCTTATAGCCAAATTAGGTATAATTGAGAGGATTTAATTCAGCCTTTTTTATTTCACAATCAAAGTGAAGAGCTGTTAGACATTAAATTAACAAAAGTGGTGCTGGGGTCAGTTTTCAGTGTGTTGCCCCTGTATTTTTCCAGGATAACCCCTTGATGAGATCTCGGTAGTAATGCTTGTGTTTTGTTGCAAGTAGAAATGTAAACATACCCTGCTTATATCCAAAGGCTTACTTAAAAGTTAAAAAAATATTTGAGTTAGCTTTAACAAAATGCAGATCCATTTTGTCACTTTATTTGGAAGTCTGGTTTCCTGTTTTAAGTAGACAGGTACAGTAAAACAAAATTATGCTTGTATATTTAATCTATAAATTCAGTGCATTTATATACAGCTGTTTGTTTTCAATATTTAGCTTTCATATAAAGCATTATATGACGTTAGAAGAATTTTGGTAAAAGAAAATGTATTTAATTATGTACTGCCTAGGCTACTTTGTTACTGTTATGCTCATGACAGTGTAAAGACATACTGTATAGAAGCCACTAACAAGTGAATGAGTATTACCATGGCTATTTGATTAACTTTGTTTTTTTATTCTTTTCTTATACTGATGTATCTGGTTGATTGTAAATGTAATATGTGTAAAATATTAATTTTCCCTAATTAGGGTGTACCTGATACTGTATATTAAAATCAATGTCGTGTGCCATTGTCTGAAATTCAGACAGATATTTTCTGCCTTCAAAAACAAAAAGTTAAGTCCCTAATGAACATTCAGATTATAAAACAGCAGTAGAAATTGCAAAGAAAAGTGACAATACACTACAAGAATTTGTTCAGATATTATAGAAAAACCTAAATTAGTATCCACGTTTGTTGTGATCATTACAATATGTTATTAATCCTCCATCCATAGTTAGAATGGATAACATTAATTATAAAAGCTTGATAACTGAAAAAAAAAACAATTCATGATATCATTCTATGGCATAAAATGTGAACAGCAGGCAGCTAGGCCTCATTTTAATAAGCAAAGTCTGAATGAGGTAAGAGATTAAAATATAAATAAGAAGTACCTACTTCTTCCCTTGTTATGTTAAGGAGTGCCCTTTCAAACCATAGACCGGATAATTTTAGTCTTATGCAAATCAGTATTTTCTCAAACTCTACACACAGCTTGTTTTATAAATGTTTTAACTCCTTAGTCTAGGTTCATTTCTTTTGTTCTTTTTCAACAACAACAACAACAACAACAACAACAACAAAAATAACAATAGCAAAAGTTTCTAGAATCTGCTTACATTCCAATTCCAATATGGAAGGTTGATTAAATAATATTTTTTAAAAATAAATAGTTGAAGTATTCAATACACTTAATAATAATAATAATTTAATAATTGCTTACACTTATATAGCGCTTTTCTGGACACTCCACTCAAAGCGCTTTACAGGTAATGGGGACTCCCCTCCACCACCACCAATGTGCAGCATCCACCTGGATGATGTGACGGCAGCCATAGTGTGCCAGAACGCTCGCCACACATCAGCTATCAGTGGGGAGGAGAGCAGAGTAATGTAGCCAATTCATAAAGGGGGGATTATTAGGAGGCCATGATTGGTAAGGGCCAATTGGAAATTTGGCCAGGACACCGGAGTCACACCCCTACTCTTTTTGAGAAGCGCCCTGGGATTTTTAATGACCACAGAGAGTCAGGACCTCGGTTTTATGTCTCATCTGAAGGACGGCGCCTGTTTACAGTATAGTGTCCCCGTCACTATACTGGGGCATTAGGACCCACATGGACCGCAGGGTGAGCGCCCCCTGCTGGCCCCACTAACACCTCTTCCAGCAGCAACCCTTGTTTTTCCCAGGAGGTCTCCCATCCAGGTACTGACCAGGTTCACACCTGCTTAGCTTCAATGAGTTGCCAGTTGTGAGTTGCAGGGTGATATGGCTGCTAACCAAACCTGCACTTGACAATAATATTTATCAAAATCTGCTTTATTTGATCTTTATAAAAAACCTGATACTGTACACTGTACAATCAACAGTTTTACTGAAATACCGTATTTCTGAGTTATCTGGGGTGATGTGGTCATTCTCTGTCTTACTCTGCTAACCGTGTTTTTGCCATTCCTCAACTTCTTGAAAATGCCTTGTTTAGTTTACTTAGTGTGACTCTTAGATGCCTTTCTGGCAAATTTGTGATTTTTGTTTTTAAAGGTCTAACTCCACACTGTGTATCTTTCCTCAGATGCCAAGACACCACTTTATATCTGAAAGGCCTATTCAAGGTTAATAAAATATAGTCCATTTAATCCAGAAGATAAGAATCATGTGCATTTTTGCTTCATAGCAGTAGTATGCTTAAGAATAATTTCCTGAAGTTGATCAATTTCCATTGGTGGAAAACTGATTAAAATGCAATTCAAACAGTATTTGTA